GGGGGGGGAGCCGGGGGGGGGGGGATGAAGGCAGATTCAGGACTGAGATGCTACTGAAGAAGAAGTAAATAGAGTTATGACATAGACATGATTTCAGTTCAGACATATAGCTTAACCCCAAAGAGCCTATGGGGTGGTTGCTGGGATATGGGTCTTCCAATTTGAATGCTAATGACTTGGCTGAACCAGGAGGGCAGGCCTTTGTGGTTCAGAATGCTGATTCCCCAGCTGACACTGTAAAGCTGAACATCTATCTTTATCAGGTGACTGCATTAGGAGGCCTACTCTATGCCCAACCTGCACAGCCGATGCCCTCAGTCAGTGGTTGTGAGGCAGAAATGGACACCATTCAGGATGTAACAACCTCTGGGGGCTGGGGAGGAATTTGAATCACTCACTCATGGAACCAGTTAAAGGGCTTTTCAGATTCCAGGTGCTCTAACATAGCCCCCCGAGGGCTCCGTGGGGCATCCTCATCCTGCTACGCATGTCACAACTACATGGCCAAGAGAGGGCCAAGAAGTGAGAGTGGTGAGCCTGTAAGCAATCCAATGGTCTCTAATAAGGACCCAGAGATGACTTTTCAAACGAAGGCCACAATTCCTTTAGATGTCACCATGTCCTGAACAACATGAGGAGATGACAAGGGAGACTAGAAACATATGGACAAACACAGGGAGGATTGGACTTGAGTCTCCACATGGACATTAACTGGCTGTTCAGTGTTGGATGAGTCAATTCCCCTCTTTGGGGTCCCAATTTCATCATTTATGAGAAGAGGGACCTGGCTCTTTGCATTTCTGTATTTCACTTCATATTTTTAGAGGTGCAACCCCATGGCCTTTCTGGAGTCTGCAGGCAGCTGGACACGGTGCACCCTCTCCTGCAGCACTGCTCAGATTTTCCGCATGGGAACCACATTCTAACCCCTATTTATCTTGCTAATTCCTGCATTGAGTTCTGTTGTCCCACCAGCCCACCTTCAGACCCCATGCAATCAGGTTATTTGGAGTGTGACTGATTTGTGGCCCAAGCCAGGACTGTTTTAAATGTAAAAGGGAAAGGGAGGAACTTTATAAAAACAGGCCCAGAAAACAAGCCTAAATGGATGGTTGTTGTCACCTTGCAGGGAGGGTCACACAGCAACCTCTTGGTGACATTCCTCAAATGATAATCAGTCCCTTCACATCCAGGAATGATCCTTAGGATGTCACTAATGTTTCTCGTAGGAATTTAAACCACTGTATTTTCTGGGAAGGCAGATGATATGTGAATTTATACAACAACCATCGATAAAATAATTGCTATTTTACATCTGGATTTGATGGAAACCATAACTATTTCAATAAAGTCAAAGGGAATACAAATTCATTTGGTAGGTTCCCACCCCAACCTCCTCTACTGTAAGCCCCAAACTAAAGTTGGGTGACATGGATGCTGGAGCAGAAGCTGTGGCAGGTGGGAGGGCTCCACCCAGGCGGGGGCTTCTGCAAAGGGGCCGGGGCCACACTGAGCATGTGAGTTCCTACTTAGGGAGGACACTAGACCCTGCCCATGACACAGGTATTGAGAGCAAGCTTCTACACTCAGAATGCCTTCTAGGGAAGATTATTGCCCTCCCAGAAATCAGCATGGCGTACTATAGACTCTAGTATAGACAAATGGTTGGAGATTTGAAAGTTTCCTAAAGCAAAGAAACTAGGAATGCAGCTCAGCCATTACTAAGAGGGCAAATAGGTAAATTCCATTTCCTAACAACAATGGCATAATGGACACTACTGTGTCTCCCCTTTCTTTAGGTTGGGAAAAAAAAGTAAAAATTAATTTTAGAGGTACTGGTTTTTACTAGTAAATTTATTGATTGGTTGGCCATTTTAAAATTTGGGGGATATTTTGATTGTCTTTGTCAAAAAGCAACTCATGGCTTTAAATATTTTCTATCTCAAATTTTTTGATTATGGATATAGTTTTATATTTGTAATTTTAACAAATATGGGTTAGATTTAAGGGCAGTTATTTGATTTCATTTTGAAATAGTTCTTTTTTTCCTTCTATTTTTATCCCTCCTAAGTTGTGATTTATAATTTTAGTTAATTTTGTAATTGAATATATTGTGCAATTAAAAGTTACTAACTTAGAAATTATGTATGTTTATTTTATTGATAATTTATTTTCAGTTCACTTTCTAATATTCTCTTTGCTCTTTTTGATTAGTATGATTCAGAATTGGGTTCTGGAGCAATTATTCTCTAGCCACGTTCATGTGTAATATTCAGGAGGCTTCTAAAACCCTTGAAATTTTGTGGGGGAAAAATTGTATTTCTGTGCAAAAAAAATTGTTGCAAGAACACATTTAAGAAGGTGGGTACTTCCAGGCAGGACAGTCTTTATGAGCTGCAAAAAGAAATGTAAACCGCAATGACTTTTTGTCTCAGTGGCGTCTGTCAAAGGAGAATGAAGCGTCCTTTTACAAATGCTGGTTGCGGCACGCTTTCAGGAAGACACACAAGGAGGCGCTGTCCGCACTCGCCATGCAAGGAGAATCCTATTTTCACTTTGTAACAGATACCACCCACGGTTTCAGAAATTAATTATTGAGAAATGTGTGTATGTGTGGGTAGAAATAGGATGAAAAATTAAGTTTTATTACCACGCACAATGTTATAATAATAATCAATTATTTTATTCTAGAAACTAAAAGCATCTTAAACAGCATCTCAATTAGCAAATAAATGTTTTGACCTTGAAACTCTTAAGAGTTTCTGTCCTAAGTGTTTTTTCTGTTCACAAAAATATATAACGGCTGAAATATATCTATTCCTTTGGAACTTATAAATAAGCGATGATTATTCCCAAATTAAAGGAAAAACTATATATCTATTATTCCTCAAAGGATTTTAAAAGAATCAATACCTATTTTGGGGGGACTGGAGGGGTTATATCCATGAAGAATTTTTTTGTACAAAAATCAAATTTAAATCAATATATGTATGAGTACATGTATTTTTTAAATAAAAATGAGGTTTTAACATGTATACTATTTTTTTATCCTTATCCAAGGATACATTTTTATTGATTTTAGAGAGAGAAAGATGGAGAGAGAGAGAGAGAGAGAACGAGAGAAAGACACACACACATGCAGAGAAACATTGATCTGAGAGAGAAACATCTACCGGTTGCCTGCTGGGTGTGTCCTGACCAGGGATCAAATCTGCAACCTTTTGGTGTGCCAACCGAGCCTTCTGGCCAGAGCAACATATGTACTATTTTAAACTTGAGGGTTTTGTTGTTGTTCTCTTTAATATCTTTCCATACCAATTACTTTGGATCTACATCAAATAGATGATTAGAATAAAGAATAGGCACAAGTGGAGAAGTTAAAATACAGCAATTCAGCATCAGCTGAAAACAGCATTTCAAAATAAACATTTTTTACTGACTTCTCCCCATTGAGGTTGCAATTTCAACTTCTTGTTACCTATTTTGGGTTTGGTGTGTTGGTATTGATAAAATAGCCTTAGTTCCTTCCCCTCTTTCATCTTGTAACAAATTTAGTATTTGTGAAGGACAAATAGTCCAGTAGAGCTTGGTGCCTTGCTCAGCATCTGAAGTATGACTGGGAGAAACCCAGAAGCTTCTAAACCAGCTGTGGGAATACAGCCCATCTCTAATGTCTTTATACAGCAGGAATTTTAACCCAGAATTCCACAAATAATCCTGTGGGTGAGTCTTTCTTCCCAGACTCCAACCAGTTAGAGACACTTAATCTTTATGTGTCTATCCCAGAATCAAGCCTACGGCCTGGCATGGAATAGGTGCTTTTTAACATATTTAATAATAAAAACAATAAACATGTGAATGTTCTCAGTGATACATTTGAAGATGGACACAAGGTGTAATTCATTCAATCTAGCTAATTACCTTAGGCATGTCATTTTTCTCCTAAGACAGGACTTGTGCTTTAACACTAAAGCTAGATCTGTACAATTGACAGCAGCTATCTAGAACACTGTGGTGCAAAGAATTCATAGACTTTTCTGGGATAGGCAGCAAGAAAGACAGGTCAGTTTTCAAAGTAGGCCTGGAGTGTGGAAGAGGCAATGAGAGGCGGCATACCGTATGGTGGTTGTGAGGATGGGCTCTGAGCTGAACTAGATGGTTTTTGGATCCTGAGTCTGCTTATACATACTTTTTAATATATATTTATTGACTTCAGAGAGGTAGGAAGAGGAAGAGAGAGATAGAAACATCCATGATGAGAGAGAATCATGGATTGGCTGCCTCCTGCAAGTCCCCCACTGGAGATCAAGCCTACAACCCGGGCATGTGCCCTTGACCGGAATCGAACCTAGGACCTTTCAGTTCGTAGGCCTACGCTCTATCCACTGAACCAAACCAGCTAGGGCAGCTTATACATACTTTTGAACTGTGTGACTTCGGGTAAGTTACTTAACCTCTCTTGTCTTCTGTAAAATGGGGATGATAATATGCATCTCATAATATTATGCGGTAACCCATACACAGACTTGGTGCTGGCCCATGACCAATGCATGTTATGCGACAGTGCACGTGATCACAGAACTCAGGGAAGATGGGAGCTGACAGAATCACTTCTTGGACTTTTATTATGAATCATAAAGTGACAATTCTGAAAGAAAAAGATCAAACATAACAACAGAGGGCAGAAAATTCTAGTATAGAAGATACTTTGTGGAGCAGCATTTTAAAATTGAGTAAAAGATGTAGCCCTTAACACAAATAAGTTATTTTGTCATTGTGAAGGTTCATTCTTATTTGTCTCCAGCTTGGAAACCACTATCCTGTGCCTATGAATCATACAGGTGTTTCTAATAGTTTTTTATTGATACCTGATTTTATCTGGCTCAGTCTAGGGGAGGACAATGGAGATATCCTGAAGAGGGTGGGGATCCAGGTTAAGTTCTGATTAACTTTCATCTCATACATTCATTTCTCATATTGATGAAGTCCACCTCTTGTACCTTTGTCAAAACCAAACCCATTGTTTAGAACATGAAATACCTGGAGATACTGTCATGTGAATCTAAGCTATCCATCCTGTGGGCTGTCTGTGCACCTGAAGCGACACCAGGACGATCGTCAATTGTGTCCAGTCCAGACTCTCTGGAAAGGTTCATGATGTGGTTCTGATAGTACATGTGGATGCTTTCCCGAGTGGGAACGTTGCCCTGCAGCGAAGGAGACATTGCCACAGTTCTTACTTGCCTCTGCAGCCACCGGGCATTTATCAACACTGACAATTCTCAGCTATCATGCACACCGGAGTAGATGAACACAAAGCTAGTGAAGTTGGGGACTGATGTCAACTCATTAATGGTACCCAATATTATTGGCTAATGCTAAAAAGGAAATCCCTCTTGTTTATGGATGAAGATGGTCAAAAGGTATAAACTTCCAGTTGAAAAATAAGTAAGTCATGGGGGTGTACTGTACAGCAGGGTCTCTATAGTTAATAATACTGGATTGCGTATGGGAGTCCCTCCTTATGCACAAGGGATGCATTTCAAGACCCCCAGTGGGTGCCTGAAACCATGGATAGTACTGAGCCCTACCTATACTATGTTTTTCCCTGTACATACACACCTGTGATAAAGTTTAATTTATAAATTAGGCACACCAAAGAACTACTTCGAGTTCTGGATATTGATTTTCACAATCTATATAATGTGTAAAGAAGCAAAGAGAATAATTCTAAGAGTGTTACCTTTTTAATTTCTCTGGTCAGCATGCATCTTTCAATTCTCAAAACTGTAGATATATCAATATGCTCCCTTGAAATGGAGTTAAGCCAAGTTGTGAAACTATCCACGGTTGCCAAAAAGAGCACCCAGGTAAATTTCAGAATATTAAATATCCTCTTGATGATATTATCTAGGAGGAAGAAAAAGAAACACAATGTCAAAGGAACAAATGCCATCGCCCATTTTGCCGTAGGTACACAGTGGTGTTTTACTAAATGCAGACCTGTTTGAGCCTCCCTGCATCATGTGGAGTGGGCACCGACTGGGCATGACGGGGGTGTGGGGACCACTGCTGCATAGGGAACCAACATCGGGCCTTTCTACACGTGCAAGCCAAGCAAGGGCGGAATTGTTAACCTTTGGTCAAAACAGCTGCCAGAACAGATTCCTATACTTTTGGTTAAAAGTAGAGATTGTCTTCAAAGATAGTTATGTTACTGACACAGGGATACAAACAGAATGTATTTATCCAGGTAACTGGGTCCTGTAATTCTTTTTCTATAAGTTTCTTCTTTTCTTAAGTAATAATAGTTGTTGGAAACAATTCTGTTGATTCAGTAAGAATTTGACACTTTCTACTGCAGTTGCGTTCAGTTACATCATTTAAAATGATTCTGTAGAGCTCAGTACGCGTACTGAGAGTATATGTGTACACCACTGAAATACCACTATTCTTAATTATACTGAGCGGTGCTGACTACAGAATATTGCACATGGGATCGACCCTCCCGAAACCAGCAGAAGCTGTGCAATTCCTGATGGAGTTGGGTTGTCTTCCTTATCTGTGCTGTGCCTGGGGGCGCCTGGGAGAGCTGCCTGGGGGGATAAGCTCGGCTCCAGATTGCCACTCTGTCCCAAATGTGTCTCCATGCAGCACGCGCCTCGCCAGCCCTCAGAGAAGCCAACATGAACTCCTGATCATGATCAGGTTTGAGGAGATTCCATAGCTGTGACCTAACTTTATTTTAGGTCTGAATCAAAATAAAAGAGGAACGTTCCCATATTAACCATCTTGCTAGTTTGTTCCTGTAAGCCAATAAGTTCTCAACTAGTATACAAGGAATCCTTGAAGACACGTTACCAAATTTTGGTCAATGGGGATGTAATGTACAGCAGGGTCTCTATAGTTGATAATAGAGACAATAGGTCTTAGCAACTTTAGTATGTGTACTAAATATACCTTTTAGTTTTAACATCAAGACCACCATAAGCAAAACTGTGAAATAATTATATTTATCTTTACCACCTCTAGGGTGTACCTTTCTTTTGACTTGGCATTTAAAAATTTTAGTTTTTCTTTTAGGATTTCAAAACCGTGATTACAATAAAGCAAATACTTAGTGAACATAACAATGAGTTAAGAATTGTCTTTCTGTTTATTCAAAACAAACACCACCAATAAAAATCCAACTTGTATCTCACTCTTCCCACACGAAAGAAAGAAAGAAAGAGAGGAAGAGAGAAAGAAAGAAAGAGAGAAAGAAAGAAAGATTTAAGTGTCATAGTAAAACCTTAATGAATTTACAATTAATGATTATAGCCTAGCCTTTATGATCTTGTGCAGGGGACAACCAACTTTTTTTCTGAACAAGGCCCGAGAGTAAATACTTTTGGCTTTCCAGGCCATACTGTCTGTATTGCAATGAATCACTCTGCCGCGGTCCTGTGTAAGCAGCTATAGACAACGAGTGAATTGTCTATGAATGGGAATGACTGGGTTTCCAATGAAACTTTATTTACAAATACTGAAATTTTAGTTTCATAATTTTCATATGTCATGAAATACCCTTCTTTTTAATATTTTTTCAACCATAAAAAATATAAAAATCATCCTTAGCTAACAAGCCTTATAAACACAGGTGGCAGGTATAGTTTCCTGACCTGGAATCTAGTATAATCTGATATGACCACTCTGTGACTTGAATCCTCTCTCTCTACTTTAATTCTCACACCACAGTATGAATCAGTTTAACTTTGTAATGGTATATATATATATATTTGTGAATTGAGTGGCCTAGGAGGAAGGCAGATTTTCTCCCAGGTAAATGTTTGCTCTTTTCAAAAGGAAAAACATCACAAGCAGCTTAGCTTTACATGGGATGGCCTCCTGACAGAGTGGAGATGGGCAAGAGAGACAAAGAAGAGCTAAACAGTTCTACCTGCTGGAATAACAAGAACCTTGTAGTGGCCAGCTGGTAGCTAAGAAGAAAACTGGAAAAGGAGATGGGGGATGATTAAATGAGAAGGGCCTCGAGGGAAGGGGCCCGAGCCACAGGTGGCTGTGAAGCCAGGCCCCAGAGACACCAGCTGGTGAGAGATCTGCCCAGATGCGAACAGTGATCCCTGACTTTCTTTTTGAAGTAGTGTCCTGCTATGCAAGCTGTCACTGCCTCCCACTGTCCCCCAAACCTCGGCAAAATTGTGTCACACCTAACAGCTTTACATGCGGTACACTTCAGGAAGGAGGGACACGAGAGAGTAGTTTCAATTCAACAAAGAAGCCTGGGAGGGAGCAGCTGCTTGGTGAAGCTGAATGGAGTTGAGCTGGTACAGATTCCACAGGAGAGCCATTCTGAGCCAGAGAGGCCTGGGAACCCTGGGGGCATCTACACTTCTCTTTCCACCCCACACTCCTGTTTCTGTTTTGATCTTGAGCAAGGCATGCAATGCCCGCAGTAGTTTGGATAAAACCTCTAGCCATTTGACCCCTGGATGCTGGAAGACTTGAAGTTAGTTACAACTATTAAGAAACGTTAGCAACATCTTATATTTTTGACAACTTATTTTTTTCTCCTAGTCACAGTTATTTCCCTAGAGATGGTAAAGATAAATATAATTATTTCACAGTTTTGCTTATGGTGGGCTTGATGTTAAAACTAAAATAGCTGTGTTGAAGACATGTATAACATGCACTTCATAAACTTGGGTGATCACTAACTAATGTGAAATTCGGATTTTTATTTTTACTTATTTTTTAATGATAGAGGCAATAGGACATAGTCATTAAGAGCACAAACTCTGGGTTCGGACTCTTTGGGTTCAAATCTTAACTCTACCTCTCAGTGGCTATGTGGACTTTGAAAAGTTAATCTTTCTCTGCCTCAGTTTCTTAACTGTTAAATGGGGAAGAGGATCTTTGCCGGGATTAAACAAGTTAATTTGTCTAAAGCTCTCAGAAAAGTGCCTGACAAAGTTGTGAAATCTAAGGGGTTAGCTATTATTATTGCACTAGAGGCCCCATGCATGAAAATTTGTGTATTGGAGGGGGTCCCTCAGCCTGGTCTGCCCCATCTCACAGTCTAGGAGCCTTCAGGGGATGTCCTAATAAGCTGCAGTCTGGCCTCCCTCTGTGGGAGGCAACCTAACTGATCAGGGGAAAGCGCCACTCCCATCACCCCCCGCTGCTGCTGCCACTGCCAGCTGCAGTGGCTGCAAGGCCTGAGCCCCAGGTTCTCATGGCTGCCTGAGCCCACAGCTGCTGTGAGCCCCAGGCCTCACAGCTACTGTGAGCCCCGGGCCTCGCAGCTACTGTGGCTTTGTGCAGATGGACATCTGGAAGATGTCTGCCCTAATTAGCATACTGATCAGGGGAAGGCGCCACTCCCAACACCCCGCTGCTGCTGCCACTGTCGGCTGCAGCAGCTGCAAGGCCTGAGCCCCAGGGCTCAGGGCTGCCTGAGCCCACAGCTGCGGTGAGCTCACAGCTGCTGTGGCTTTGTGCAGATGGACATCTGGAAGATGTCCGCCCTAATTAGCATATTACCCTTTTATTAGTATAGATAAGGCTTTGTAGCAATAATAGAAGATCTGAGTTCACATATGTGTGAATAAAATGATCTGGAAATGGAGGCCAGGTTTAAGAATTGTGCCACAGAGGGTATTACAATAATTAGAGCACCTTTGAGAAGTCTCATTTTGAGCCAGTATACCTGTGAATAAAATGATCTGGAAATGGAGGACAGGTTTAAGAATTGTGCCACAGAGGGTATTACTAGTAATTAGAGCACCTTTGAGAAGTCTCATTTTGAGCCAGCAGATGGCATCCTTGGACGTATTTGTATCCAGAGTAGAGAGCATAGAAACCTTGCCTGCTGATAATGTACACAGGAAACAGCACTTTTATAGAACTAGAGAGGCATTTGAGTTTGTTTCATTTGGAGAATTTTGTTTTGTTTTGTTTTGTTTTTCCTGCACGGAGAAATATTCCTCCTAGTCCCATACTATGAAAAACCCAAATAAAACCATGATGGGGCTAGGAGTTAGAAGACAGGGATTCTGTCCCTGACTGTAGCTCTGGGATCCTGGGCAAACTTATTAGGACTTGGTTTTCCACCATAAAATGAGGAGTTGGCCCAAGTTTCCAGAGTACATTTCATCTCCCCAATTCTATTTACTGCTTAACTCCTCCTTTCTATAGTCTTTAAAATTAATTGCCAATATTTTTTGTTCCTCTGTTCTGATGGCTTCTATGGGGTATTTGTCATTTGTTCCCCCACACCTCCTTTCATAGGTACTTGGAAAAAAGAATTTATAAACTGACTGTGATTAATGTTTAATCTAACAGTGCAAGGAGCAGATCTACTTTTAGGAGTCACTTTGCAATTTCACTAGAGATGAGATTTCAAAGGACACCGGTTATTTAGTCATAGTCCAGAAACAGTATTTGATTAATTATTTTTAGGCAGCTTTTCATTACATAAACATTGGGCAAGAAACATTTTCAAATTTCTCCCTGGTCCTATGTATTTATTGTATTACCTGGTCCATCCGATTTCTTTTTGACTGGTTCATCCTCTTGGTCTTCCCACTCCATAGGACCTGTCAAGTGTGTTCAATTAACACGAGTTAGATTCAGTTAGAGTATATTAAATGCCACCCTACTCTTCTGGATTAAAATAAATCTTAAAAATTAAATTTCAGATATTCTGCCTATCTGAAGAGTTCCTGGGGAAAAGTTGTAAGAATTCATGGCATCCAGAACAAAAATCACGGATACCAAGAAAATAAAATATAGTCAGTCTTATTAGTTAGGAAAATTCAAATGAAAATGAAAACCTTTCATCATCCCAGAGAAAGACAAATAGTAGAAAGACTATACATCATGGGGGATAAAGATACAGGGAAGTGCACACTTCTGCTCACGGGAGCGTAAATTACTGAAACATAATTTACCTATTAAAGCCAAAAAAAAAAAGCACATCATTTAACCCAGTAATCCCACTTTAAATAATGTATTCTGTGGACAATGCATGTCCTTCCCGACCTTTTGCTATGCATTTAAATACACAGATAAGTCCGACTACATATGGAGTTTTGTTCAGGGATGTCTATGATAGCACTGTTTATTGCAGCAGAAATCTGGAAGCAAACTTTTGTCCATTCGTGATGTAATAGTTGAGTAAATTAAGCATATCCATATCACAGAATATTTTGCAGCTATTAAAAAAGGAGGCTATGGATTTGTGAATACTTAATTGGAGAAATGGTCACAATACATTACTAATGAACATGCAAGAGCAGTTTGTATGGCATGAACTCACTTTTGAGAAACAAGGGAAACCGTGCTTGCACACATATGTGCAGGCCCATGAGAAAGGAGTGGGAGTGGGGAGTGAACACAACATGTTGTGAAGATTTGGTAGCTCAGTAGATGGGTGTCCAGGGCAGACTGTGCATTTATCTCTTGCCTGATGTCTTCTTACATCAGCTCTGTCTTAATTTTGTCTTATTAAACCAAGAAAGTAAAATAAAATTAAAGTTACCAGGAGGTAGCAGGGGGCAGAATGGTAAAAAAGGAGAGAGGTGTTTCTATTTAGAGCTCCATTAAAAATTATGTTTTTTTTATTTTAAAATATATTTTTAATTTCACAAAGAATTTATGTATATATTTTCTCTGTAAAGCACAAAAATTTAAGAATTTAGATAAGCCTAAAGTTCTCTTTAATCACACCACTTAATCTCAGTCTCTCCACCCCTCCCCCAGAAGCAAGCACTGTTATTAATTTTCTAAGTTTTCTTCCTGATCTTTCTCTTGCATTTACACACTATTATACGAACCCATTTAAATGCAAAATATTATGTTGAGGTTTCCTTTGTTTCATAGATGGTTGCATAATCCGTATGCCATTTTGCAACATCGTGCTTTTCATTTAACATTTGTCAGGAACTTCTCTCCAAATCAGTTCAAAGTAATCCATCTCATTTTTTAAACTACTGAAGAGTATTCCATTATATAATGATAACATAATCTACTTGGATCTCCTTCTTTCTGTCGGCATTTAAGATGTTTCTAAATTTTTGTTATTAATAAATAATGTTTGATGAATACTCTTAGCCAGGTGTCCTTGTGCACATGTGCAAATCCTGCTTCAGGTTACGCCACACACCTAGAAGTGGGACTGATCTCTGGTAGGATTGTACACTTAAAATGTCCTCAGATATTGACACATTCTCTTCAAAGTGGATGGACAACTTTGCAAAAGCACTTAACTTCCCACTAGTTCCTGTGTTATCAAATGTTTAGCTTCTTGCCAATCCCATAGGTTAAAAACCCAAAATATCAAAAGGCTTAGTTTGTGTTTCTCATGTTACTAGTGAAGCCGAGCTCCTTTTAAAAGGCCATTTCCCCCTTTTTTTTTTTTGATTTGTGAATTGTTTTCATATTTGTTGATCCATTGGGTTGAACTTTTCTTTTACTGATATTTTGGAATCTTATTATATTAAATACTAATCTTCAGTCTGATTTATATAATGAAAATGTTTTTCCTGAGTGCCCCTACTGCACTTTAACTTTGCTATTGGTGTGTTTTGTTGTGGTATGAAATTCCCAACCCCACCCCCCACCTTAGAAATGTGTTTCTCTCATATGCCTTCAAATGCAGCAGTTTAATGTTGAATATGGCATTGGTAGTTATGTTCCATTTTTGGTTCATGATCAAATGTCAAAGGTTCATCTTTATTATTACTTTTTTCCAAGAACAGCTTTTAACTTATTGATAAGGTCTTGTCTTATATTTATTTTCTATCACTTAATATCTCTCTCAAAATAAATTTATTTTCTTTCTACAGACTTTCTTTGGGTTTATTTTGCCTCTCTCCCCCATTTTATAAATGCATCTTAACTTAAATTCATGTTTTAATTTCTTCCAAGTGTCAGACACAAGCAATTAAGAACAAGTAAAAGTCTTTGCACTCTTTGGAATTTAAGAATTTGATTTCTCCAAAGATTCTGTCCTTTGCAGTCCCTCTGTTGTATTCAAGGCCACAGAAATGCAGAGTGTGGCTAGAGCTGCACCCCAGGACACTCACCCTCCCCAGATCCTTTTCTCTGTCTTTTCTGTTCTTCTCTTGCAGACATTTTTTTCTCTTTGCGCCGCTGTCGGAGTGCTGTTTTAGGGTCAGTAATCCAGGCTTGATAAACAAACTGAAGGGAGAAAGTTCAATTATTTTCTGGCTTTTTAATAATTTAATTAAAAGAAAAGAGACCAACACCAAGCTTCCTGACTTTTGGAAACATTATTTTTTCTGCCAACACAAACTAAATACCATCTCCAATATCCTTTCTTTTCCCACCCCCATATTCTTTCAAATGCTGAGCTGACCTGTGCTATTTTCATTATCATGAAATAATAGATGGAAACAGATTTGTAGGAATATATTTCATTTGGTATCACAGACAATCATGAGAAACTTTGGGTATATACAAACCAGCATTTTTTTTCCAGCTCCCCCGGTACTACCACCATTTGTGATACTTAACTATTGATCTTTCCCATTACACACAATGGAATAAACTGGAGGTCTCACTAAGTATCAATAGAGTAATGTTCTTCCATCATAAATAAACTCTGAGTAAAAAACAAAATAGCATCTTTTACTGGCTTACGCTGGGAAACAGTTTTGCACATTTGATACCTTCCCTTGTGAATAACAGCTATTACCAGCAACTTGAGAAAGGGCTTTGCAAATTGATTAGTATTTGGAGAGGAAAAATACTGTGATATTAAGATTAAGAAGTTATTGCAGATGGTATGGAAGGAAAACTTGAGTTTTTGGTTGCCTTTTGTCATTTTCATTCAAGAGCTGAAAATAGTTGCAATAGTATATTATTATAACCGATAACCATGATAGACCCATGATGAACAGCCCGCCCACTGAGAGTCATGCAGAAGGAACAAAAAGAAAACCTTGATATACAAAGTCAGCCACCTAGAACCACGAAGCCAAGCAGGCATGCGCCTCATGCACCCGCAGACACACCTGGGTCTCAGGGAAGCTGGGTTTTCTGTTCTCATCAGAGAGGTAAAGGAATATTTTGCAGGGTCGCTTGGAGACCCAGGCACTTTCAATTTATTGTATGTAATGTTCAGATTTCTGGGATCTTTGAAAAGCACTGTTTAAGGAAACCATGGGCACTGCGTTGTCAGTAAAATTTAAGAGATAACTGTAGTACTATCAACAATAAAAATATATTTTAAAAACTTAAGAGGGATTCAATGTTTCCATATATAGAAATGTAAAGGTCATAGGTTATTAAGAAAGAACATGACTTGTCACTGGTAGAAATCTGAATCTTAAGGGCAATTAATGTAAATATGTTATTATTTTTTATTTCTAAATAAAAAACCCAGGAGGCAAAAAAAAAAATCCCATTTTATGCCCCAAATATTTTTAAAAAATGAGATAAACTGAAATTCGAAGAAGGATCAAATAAAGGAATTTATGGTGGATGTTTATTGAGCATGTTAATTGGGAAGTCTAGCAAGAATATCTCATTAATAAGCAAACTTGCTTCCACAAAGCATTGATTCTTTTAAAAAATCTATTCTGCCAAATGTAAATAAAATTTCAAGCTTAAGAGCAAAATATGGTGACATTTTATTTTTAAAAGTTATTAGAATCCTCTTTCTAGAGAATGCAAGAATCCCAAAAATAAAAAATAAAAAAATTCAGGATCTGCAAATGTTTTAAGTGCACAACTGGATACATTTTTCTCCTCAGAAGAAAATGAAACCTTTGGGCTGGAGGGTGAGAAGAAGAGGAGGTGCTTTGATTAGACTGAAGAGGTCTTAGGGAAATGGTGAGGACCACTGAAATTGACTGTGTTTAAAGGGAACTACTGGTTCTACATATGACACCTAAATGATTAAGACTACTGTAATATTGTAAGAATTTCTTACTGTAATAAGAATTTAGATAATGCAAATAAGAGGGAAGAAGGGAGGGGGAAAGAATCATATGACATTCTTTATTTGTAGGTAAATTCTCTTAATGCTGATATTTAGAAATACAAATATTTTAGAGTTCCAGAAACATCTAACAGAGGGTCAGTTTCACTTCAGTCCAACTGTGTCAGGAAAAAGTTGATAATGAAGGTGGAGGAGGAAACATCCCATTTCTTACTGAGTCAAGGAATGGAATTTTCTTACTGAAACTTCTCAATTCTTACTTGGTGGCTGTAGCTACCATCCATTTGATGGGCCTCCCTAGGGAATCAGACCTGACTACCACTCACCATAAGTAGAAAATGCATGGAAATGTCTTTATTGACCTCTGGCTTCTCCAAACTGCACTGCCACTGGATTCCCAACTTTATCTTACATTTTTTTCTTAAATTTTATTATGCATTATTAAGGAAAATGGAATTCATTTTACAGAACACTTATTATATAAAAAAGAATTTAATCTTTAAGACAGGAGAGAACTTCATTGACATAGAAGATCCTTAACTGAAACTGGTTAAATTTCATAAACTGCCCTTTAATTCAGGTGTGGTCCAGGGCTTTCTTTATGTTGTCTGTAAGAAGAGATTTCTTAAATAATAGGATTTAAAAAAAATAGTAAGATAGTTACATTGTAATCTTTCACAGAACAGGAGAGAACTTCATTGACATAGAAGATCCTTAATTGAAACTGGTTAAATTTCATAAACTGCCCTGTAATTCAGGTGTGGTCCAGGGCGTTCTTTATGTTGTCTGTAAGAAGAGATTTTTTAAATAATAGGATTTAAAAAATAGTAAGATAGTTACATTGTAATCTTTCACAGAAATTCTTTTACATGGATGGAGAGACTCATAGAATAGAGAAGAAAGAATGCGAGGGAAGTGGCAACGGTGAATATTAAACTAAAATGCAGGGACCTAGAGTAGATCCTGCTACTCAAGGTGGTCCAGCTGCTTGCACTTCACCCAGGAGTTTGAGAGAAATACAGAATTTCAGATCCCACCCAGGACCTGCTGAATTTAAATAACCTGCATTTAAATAAGATCCTCAAGTGAACTGGGAGAAACACCGGTCTTGGTCATTATCCAAACCATTTGCTTAACACCGAGGAGCATAAAGACCTAAGCGTTTTCGTGCTTGCCTCAGATTAAGTCAAGAGAAACAGCTTTCTTTCAAGTACAACAAGAGTAACTCACTGCCTATGATTTTCAGTAATGAAGGGACGACAGCACAGGTAGCTGGATATGAACAGTTATTCAGCTCAGTACCTGGGAAGGAGCAGCTGCGCGGACTGCACACAGCAGCACCGTCTAGGGAGGAGGTGTGCTGAATTCCCAGTGAGAAATGGAAAACGATGTCCAATTTAGGAAGATGGAGAATTGATAGGAAGTCAGGAAGGAGGTGGAGCAAACTGAATCTTTTATTGGCTTACTCGTAATTTAACCAGCTTTCTGAGAAAAATTATACTTTTCACACATCATAACTGATGCATGCAACCAGATATGACCCTTTTCAAGTGAGATGTGACTTAGACAAAACTACAAAAAGGACAGAAATAGATGTATATCTGCATTTTCTCTTCCTACTTTTCGATAGGCTCTGGTGTCAATGGAAAAACGAGAATCAAATAATATGAAATTTGGCTTCTCAGAACTTTTTATGGAAAACTTTGTCTAACATTTTAAATTCTTAGAATTCCTTCATTGCTCGATCTATAGAACAGGGAAAATGCAGATGTAGCAACAAGGGTCTGCTTGTCTAAAGATCTACAGAGCAAGAGGGTCACACACCACACACCAGTAAAACATCAAATACCTTTGCAGCTCTGATTAAATACTGAAGAATAGTTTTGGGAAGTTTAATGACAGACTTTGGCAAGGCTAAAATGGCTGATGCAAACTTCCCAATAGCTCTCTACAAAGAAGGACAAAGCAAGAGTAGTTAGTAGAAAAAAAACAAAAACTAGTAATTTAATATATGATGTCAGCATGAGTTTGTCTCTATAATTACACCAACTAGGCTCAAATGTGCCAGTCACTGAAGCTAGAATAAAAGTGTGCTCATGTTAGAAAGAAAGAAGATAGTCAAACGTTGCACATAATCCATGAAAATAGTGAAGACGACCTCGGTCTCTCCTTTGCTGCATGATGAGTTAGAACAAGAGTCATTAGAACAAAAATAAACAAGTCAAGTCGTTAGTATTTGACAAGCCAGCTGCACACATGCACACAGACACAGTCATCTGGAAACACACTAGGTTAGCAATGGGGGCCAATGAGAAAGCATCAGAGCAAGGTGTCTCCATGAATAATTTAGTTCTTCAGTGTCACTGGGAAAACGGGTGGATGTAACCTGCCAGCTTGAGAAGATCTGGCCAGCAAACTGACAATAGCCTCTTCAAGGACACAACATGTAATTCTAGGTGCTTGTAGTATAACCAATGAAAACTAACTCCTAATATGTGGCTCTTTCCTAAAGTCTATATACATATAAATCTATATCAAGCTTTCATTCCATATGTAACTCTTCCGACAAATCATCATGTTTAGGTAGCACTGATTACCTAAACATTCACTGGGTACACTATACTTAGGCTAATGAGCTATACAACTGAGACTGGTGCAGCAAGTTCTGGAGAGAAAAGGGCAGTTAAGTTGGAAAAAAATCAGAGCTGTGCTAGATACTTTTATTGTTTCAATAACTTCTCAAATCATTAGCAATATAAATAAAACTGACTTTCAAAACAAAGCAATATTTAAATGACCACTTGTTTTCAAACAAAGCATGATCAACTATCTACATATTGAAATATAAGTTCACTCAAGTAATCCAAAGCAAGGACAGAGAAGTCTTCTTCACCTCCCACTTGCAACAGAAAAATAAAGTTCACCTAAGGAAGTTTAATGTTTTTGTTGGTAGCTTCAGAAACATTTTGGATACAAGTGAATGAAGACCCGACTGGAACAGTGTTCTTGTGTAGTAGAAACTATGGCAATGCTGAGAGCAAGCAGCATTAGTTTAATGAGGAAAAAACAATTTCAGATGTAGGTCAGAAGCTTAGGGCTCTAACACATATGAACAAGGCAGAAGTCTAGGCTTTTAAGCACGATCTGTCAAAAAAAAACACCCAAAACTCAATTAGCAAAGAACATGATTTCCCAAATCCCATAATTACCTGGAAAGCTGACTTTCTTGGAGGTTCTTCGTCTTCCTTTTTTAATTCTTCTTCTTCCTCCTCTTCACTATCCGTTTCAAACAAATAATAGTCTCCACTCCTGACCACTAAGCAAAACAAAATATTTACTTACTTCTTGAAAGAGATACAAGATAATCGGGGGATTATTAATGAAATCCCCCCCAAAGATACACATAAATTGCCCATAAAAGGACCACAGCAAGAGACATTGATAGAGAGGAAAAAAACAAGAGATGAAGAGGATTCATTCTGGGCTATGCTACGTGTTGTTGGCATGACTGAGTCTACAGAGCATGAAGGCCTTGTCTGTGCTATGTAAGAGAATTGGCCACTACTGGGTTGATCTGGTATTTTCTTCCTTCTTCGTTGTAAATGTTATACAGATGTATCAGATCAACTCTGCAGCAACCAGTTTTGTTACCAAGATGACCAAAATAACTGAAAACTATTTTGCAATTCAGCAATTCTGGTCTTTTAGACAAGGCTGAAGTAAAGTGGAAGGCTTGGTGTTGTCTGAATGGGTCCAAACTGTTGTAGAAAACCAATCAGGAAGATTCAGGACCAAGAATCCGTGTCACCAGTCTTCTACTTCACTTTATACTGTGCAGACCTGGCTTCCCCACACGTCACACAAGGGGCACAAATATGGCAAGACATTTGAAAGAGTTGATTTTTAAAAAAATAACACATTGCCATGAGGAAAAAATGGGTGGGCAACATTAAAAAAGAACACAACCACAATAATGCCACCACCACCACCACCACTCTGGCTGTTTCTACACAGAGCATGGGACAGACTGAGGCACGGCAGACATGGTCCGTACAGTTTAGTGCTGTCAGACTTCTGGTCAACCAGGAACTCCCCAGTCACTTACTGAAATCTGAGGAGACCTGTACTGAGCATAAGACACCAAGCACAAACAGTATAGATCATCCTTGCCTTGCTTAATACTTTCCCTGCAAGAACATATTGCTGTGCTAAGAGTTAGGATTAGAGAGAGCTAAAATGTCCAGAGATTTATAGGAATTTGAAGATCACATTTTTTATCAGTTTGATTGTTATTTTAAATTTATCAGAGAAAAGAGACCCAGCATATATATTTCTGATGCTACAAGAACTGTACCATCCTTGCAGGAAAACATTAATACTTTCAAGTTATGTTCAAGACTTCAAATGCTGAGTTTTCTTTTGGATAACATAACATGATGTGTCCAGTTATATTTTGGACTTAAACATTGCAAGGTAATGGAAAACCTTGGCTTGTTTAAAATTAGTTGCTTGAATATCACTAACATGGTCAAAAGGTAAATAATTTTGCCCATGATTTCAGACGTATCTGAGGCCTCCATCCATGAAGACGCAGAGGGAATGAATTGGGCCTTATATCCTTGAACAGAAGCACTGTGATTTGTTATTTTTATTTTGAAGAAATAACCAGGCCCAGAGTACTGGGTCAAGGCCTGAGGAAATAAATGCAATATAACATAAGGTAAGAGTAAGCAAGAACAAACCAAAGTTACAGCATTACGTTTGACAGTGAGAAGACCATTAAAGTAATGCCTCAATGTAAGCTCAGAGATTTGCAGGAAAGTTACATGGACTGTACGTCACATGGTCATTTGGTAAAAACAGAGTATCAGATTGAGCATTTTACCCTCATTATAGTCTCTAAAATCAACAGTAGCTTAAATTGTATTCAATCATACCTTCTATAACTTTATCCATGAGGACACTGTGAGCCCTCAGGTAGTCATAGCATTGATTTTGTAATTTGAAAAACTACCGATTTGTATGTGAGAGGTAGAACAAACACATTACAAAAAGAAAAATGTTAAATATTTTCTATTCTTTACAAAATGTTATTGACATAAACTAGGAAAATAACAGAGAATATTTTCTTCAGTGCTATCTGCTAATAATGAGTAGAGCTCTTACATATGCCTTTGTTAGTGCAGATAGAGATCCTGCCTCCAGCCTGTGTCCATATACGTATTATGGATGCCAATGTTATTACTGAACAACTAAGCATGAAAATAAATTTTAAAATCCCATCCTCCCAAAATGGGCCCTTTATTTCCGATATTTAAATATAAAGTAAGACTTGGCATTGATTTAGACAGGATTAAAGTGACAAGAAGACACACTACACTGAAATGGAAGGTATCATTGAACAGCAATGATGCAATCGCATGTGTGCACATAGGTATGGAAGTGGGAGGTTTGTCACCTGCAGTCTATGTTAAGATCTCGAATGCTTACCAATAATATGAACAACACAGCAACATTATTATACTGCCAATGGATTTACACAAGGGTATTCCAACTACACTTATTTTTATGCTTGACACCACTAAGAAATATCTACTTGGAAGCCCAGTGACTTTTAGAGAAATAGCGCTTTCAATAAAGTGCTTCCAGATCTGAATATAAGTTTTGGAGCATGTCATAGTATATAAAATAAATCACATGTTCATTCCTTTCCTTCCCTCAAAAGCCTGTAAAGAAAATATATTTTGTAGAAAAAAATTTAACACCATGCTCAGAATATGATTCCAACCTATGAATAGCACACATTCATGCATTATTGCATCATAAGGTATTGTAACGAGGCACATTTAGTTTAATACCAGTCTTTAAGAACTTGATATAATGAGGGTGAAATGAATCAGAAAATCTAAAGACAATACCCTTCATAGGAAGTTCTTTAAATTATTCCCAACTTGTAAGATCATTATCAAAGACCATATCCAAATCCTTCCAAAATGCAACATTTAGATGAGAAAGGAAACACAACCATAATGATTGCAATGGGAATTTATCCCAGCTGAAAAAACAAAACATTTAGTATGGCACAACTTTGAAATGGATAGGTCTCTTTAAACTCGCAAAGAACCCCTTAAAAACAGAAAGATAGGCATAGTTTACTTGTGACTTGATAGAAATGGGCACACAGTGTAATCATTGTTAGATTATCAGCATGACTAACATGTCAATGGGCAATAAATTAGAGTCACAGAGAATTTCACCTTGAATTTTGCCTTTTGACTTGGGCAGAAAATAAAATAAACTCTTTACAACAGATGGATTTTTTTTTCTGCCACAATGCTAAAATTCAATATTTGGGATTAAATTTATTCACATCCACACATACTGAGCAAATTTTGAATATTGCTTTATTAAATTGGTTTACCGATTTAAAAAAAATATTTCTAGAATCAGAGAAGCTAATACCAGTGTCTTAGGTGACACTAGGAATTAAATACGGGAAAAGATTCTGATCAATTTGATTCTCTACTGATTCTAAATATCCCACTAGTGGAGTCTCTCCAATCATCATGTGATGGAATGAGCCTTGATGATATCCCTTGTCTGATTATATTAGCTACAGTTATTAAAACACAGAACAAGACATAAAAGACTGAAGATATTATTAGTAATTTTCAAAATAATTAATAATTCCTTAATTTCTAATACATTTAAAGAGGGCTGGATTCAAAGGGATCATTCCATTAAAATACCGTTGGCCAATACTGGGTGATAGATAGTTCTTTTGCCAAGCAGAACAAATATAGCCACAGAGTACCATAATTCCTCATTATTTTTTTATGCTCAGGAGGGAAAAGCACTAATTCCATGTGGCTATCAAGTACTGCTTTTCAAAACTGTTTTCTGACTCCTCTTAACTGGTCCTGGCTGAGCTGCAGGTGCTCTGAGGCCACACGCTGTGAGCCTTTTGAAAACTAGGGAGGAGGCAGAACTAAAACGTAAATTCATTTTAAGTTGTTCTCATTTTTATATTTAATAAAGTGTAAAAATTCCTCGCATGCCTATAAAATCTAAGCTCTGGGAATGAGGGTCGGGGAGGCTCATTGGCATCCACGCCTAGCCTAGTGTCTTACAAGAGGGTCGCAAACACTGTGAACATAATGATTATCCTTAAATCAGGGTCCCAGGAGGCACAGAAACTTATTTTTATTAAGGGTTTTAAGCCATAAAACAAATACACATCAGCAGGACTCTAGACCTCAGAAGTGGATAACATAGCAGTCAATGATTCTTTCCTTTCTGAGCCCGTAAATGGTGATCAAGCTTGGCTTTCTTCAGCCAGCATGTAATCACTAATTTCTCTGGAAGATTCTGTATACAGGCTCAGAGAGTCATTCATATCTCAGTTTTCCTATACTCCGACCCCCTATCAAGTCACAAGGATCAAACCATGCATGAAAACACACAGGCCATGGGGACGCCTGAATTCTGGTCAAGGATATAAGGGTTAGAACTGACGAAATTGTAAGAGGATCGAGAAAACCTACTGGAAGCATGATCAACCCAAGGCCGCCACCACTGCTTTTTTTTGCCCTTGGCTTTCTGTTTGTCTGCTTCTCCTAAAATAAAATATGTCCAAATATTAATTCTTACAAAGTGAGAAAACAAATTTTGAAAACCATGCTAAAAACAACTCAATTGTCAAAATCTAGATAAGTTGCAAAAGTACATCAGAGGTCAGGAAAAGGAACTATACGGAATCTGAAAAATTTACATGTATTAGCAGTTGATTTCACAAGGTAAATACTGTGTTCTATTCACATTATGCCACATTTCCATTTTCTTTTTAGTAACAGAAAAAATATTTAAAAAGGTATTGTCTGTCAAAAATGCATTTCACACTAAATTTTTTTTGAATCAACAGAAAAAGCATCACCCAAAATTTATAGCACAATTCAGTGGCAAATAATTTGTTAAAACCATATGTTCCTATAGTCAGACATTTTTCTTGCGATTATTTGAATATATGGTTGAAAAAATATGTTTACTAGTGATTAATAGATACTATCATGCATTATTTCTTCATTCCCTCTAAATAAAAAAGCATACAAACATTTATAAGAAGACCTTTTCAACTTTGCTGGGTATAATATAGCTATCATTAGATATCATGAATAAATTTAAATATAAATATCATTAAATGATACTTTAACTACCATTATTTAGACACCACATAAAATATGCATATATACTTAGTTTTCATATAATATTCATAGAAACCAAAGATTACAGTAGATTGCATATCTGAACTATCTTCCCTAAAGGAATAAATTAAGCAAATTTATGCCCAATTCCTTCAGAAACACATCTGTGAATCAGAAGGCAGGTTACATATTGATTTAAGTTGTTTTGCTGAAGAGAAGATACTTGTAAAGTCATGGATTCATTAAATGTGTACTTCATGAAACAAATAAAGGTATCCCATTCACAACGGAATTTAAACTTGTCAAGTTAAAAAATACATTGATAATATTGGCAAAATGAAAATTAACATTATTTTACAGCCCTACCCAATATCATGCTATTATTCAATATTAAAGTACTTGAGCAAGAGGGAAATGTCTCGACATACTTTCGTCATCCTCTTCAGAGAGTTTTTGGATGTCTTGGCCTTCCCCTGACTCCTGGGTCAAGCTCAGCATCCTCTCCTTACCCTTTTTGTATTTCTGTTGCCTGGCCTTAATGCGATCCATCCTGAAAGATGCAAGAGCATCAGCAATGCCAAGAACACGCCCGCAGTTATCCTATGATCATACTTTGGGTTTACACTTTTATGTACATATCTAAAAGCATGAACACAGTGGTCGATATTTTGGACTTGTGAATGGTTTCTTATTAGAAACAAGTATCTCCATTTTTTTATATACTTACGCTAATTTTTACTACACAGATGCAAGCCTTAATAATATGACTGATAATAATTTGCTAAAGTTTGATATGTAATACTTTATGTCTACTTATACCGTGTACCATAGCTGTCTGAATGCAGCATATTAACCTATACTATAATAAAAGCCTAATATGCTAAGTGTCTGACTGTTTGACCATTTGACCAGTCACTATGACACACACTGACCACCAGGGGGCAGATGCTCCAAGTATTCGGTTAGCTTGCTGCTGGGGTCTGGCTGATAGGGACTGGGTGAGACGGGCCGGACACCCCCTGGAGCCCTCCCACGGTTCCTCCCTGGCCCTGATCATGCACCAGTGGGGTCCCTCAGCCTGACCTGTGGGGATTGGGCCAAAACCAGCTCTCCAACATCCCCCAAGGGGTCCTTGATTGAGAGAGGACTCAGGCCAGGCTGAGGGACCACACCAGTGCACGAATCTGTGCACCAGGCCTCTAGTGAAATATGAAGTCCTTTATTCTCCCAGGTTTTGCATTTTTAAATAATATCTGTCTACCTTACATGGTTGTTGTGAACATCAAATGACAAAAATATGTGAATGTGAGAACTGTTGTAAATAGCAAGTCGCTCATAAAATGTTAATAAGTATTTTGCTAGATCATATGCTTCTTCTCTATTTCAAATCTAATCTCTTATTGGTTCTGGACAAATGTATTACTGAATCTTTAATTATTGACTTAGTACCTTTATTTTGTGTGCTTATTTAGGAAGTCTATTTAGAAACTGCAATGTTGAACTCTATTTCCTAGGTCTGCCCTCCTGAAATGTTTCATTGTTTAATTCAGTTTTTTACAATTCTGGATATATTGCTCAAGAACTGGTTTAAGCACCATTTCTCCTTTGTGCAGCTAAAACATTTTCAGTTTATCTTTTGCAATGATCACTGTCTTCATTCTTTTTTATTCTGACCTTCTATCACTTAAGCAAATGAAAAAATTCAGTGAAGTGAATTACAGTAACAGGCCTCACTTATGGGAACACATTCTAAATGTGGGTCCAAATTTGTTATTTCTCTAGACCCGATTTAGGTATTTAGAAACAACATTAGCAACAGTTACACTGTATCACACTATATAGCTCATATATGTGAGTGTAAAAATAACCATGCCATGGAACACGTGTAATTTGTACTAGCAAATATTTTTGCATGGGTAAAAATGAGGTCAGAATGCAATGAACTAGTTTAAGCAAACTCAGGGAATTTTTCTCGTGTGCTGACTTCTAGGCTGTCAGCTCTTAAACTTGCCCTCCAAATGTGAAGGGCTACTGACCCTCAGAAGTTCCACTCATTGCTGGAAATCTCACTCGAAGAAAATTCTTTACAATGTGCCAAAAATAAACAAACAAACAAAACCCCCTGGAATTCAAAATTCTCAAATTTCTTGGGTGAAGTCAGTCCATGACTCAACTTCTCCAGGATGCTCTATTGGAAAAGGTCTTGAACTGAATATAGGGAAGGATGGGTTGCATTTCTAGTGCTGCCTCTAGTTAGTTGTGAATTTTAAATGATCTAATACTGTGGGTCATCAGTTTCTTCCTGAAGAGACTGGATTATATTATCTCTAAAGATCCTTCCAGAGCCAGAACTCTGCATTTATTCCCTTAACCCACAGGTATGATGATCATTTACTCCAAGTGCCTGGCACTGTGAAGGGCGCTGTTTCATTCATTACCTTGTTTAATCTTTCTAAAAACCTCAGGGAGAATTGTCAGCCCTAATTTAAAGCAGAAAATTAAAATCCAGAGAATGTGAATGACTCGCTCAAGTTATCAAAGTAAGCAACCAAACTAAGCCTTGACATTGGTCTTATCCAAGCCGGCTCCCTTTCTAACACAATGTAGCCAACTTTCTTTTTAATGACTTCCATGTCCAGCCTATCAGGCACACCAGTAAATACCTGGGAAGTTGTGAATCAATTTTTCAGGGGGTTGAGCTTCTAGAGCAGTAGTTCTCAACCTTCCTAATGCTGTGACCCTTTAATACAGTTCCTCATGTTGTGGTGACCCCGAACCATAAAATTATTTTCATTGCTACTTCATAACTGTAATGTTGCTACTGTTATGAATCATAATGTAAATATCTGATATGCAGGATGTATTTTCATTGTTACAAATTGAACATAATTAAAGCATAGTGATTAATCACAAAAACAATATGTAATTATATATGTGTTTTCCGATGGTCTTAGGCAACCCCAGTGAAAGGGTCGTTCGACCCCCAAAGGGGTCGAGACCCACAGGTTGGCGACCCACAGGTTGAGAACCGCTGTTCTAGAGAGAGAGCTGAGAGTGTCTGAATGGGATCATACCAACCAACACTAAAAGGAACAGAGGAGAGGAAAAGAAAGCATCCTTACTGCCTCTTCAGCTGATCCATTGACTTTTTCTCTTCCTCAATTCTTGCTTTCACAGCCTTTACAATTGTGGCCTGGAAAAGTTCAGCCCCTCTAAAGGAAAATTGGAAACAGAACAAATTAGTATTTCTAATAATATAGAACCCCTAAAATAACTACAAGGGTTCGAAAACATTTCTTGTTGGGCTGTAGACTGAAGTTTCCTGGCCCCTTCTGAGTGGACAAACATGGTACAACCTCCCCCAGGACGGCGTGGCTGCTCACAACCTTGAGAGATCAGTGAAACTAAAATGGTTTGTGTTTCTTAAAACATGAAAAACCATGTGCTGCTTCAAACCTGTCCCACAGAACGTTATACCTAAGGTTACTCACCTGACCTTATTCTAGTTGTTCCACTAGGGAACACTTGCAAGAGTGAGTTCAGATTGGTTTTCCACTCAGTACATAAGTATTGAGTAGATGGGACGAGTGCAAAGTTGAATTGCAAGCCCCATCAACTGGGTTTTCAGCCTCTTGCCTCTTTGATTCTATTCTTTTTATCCTTCCCCTCCCTTCTGCTTTTTCTCACATTTCAAGCCAACTTAAGGGTCCCCATAGATCTCATCAACCTCTCTTAATATCCTCAACTCTGTCCCATCGTCACAGGTCACAATCGCTTGGCATATGGCAATTCTGCAGAATCTCAGTGGTGTGCCAGCCCTGTGCTTGGACGGGCTATCATCAGAGGTGCAGAAACGCATGGTTGGCCGACTAGCCACTGCACCGCACTCTCTGGAAGCTTGTCTGCTCCCCTCCAGTGGCTATTTCACACTTCTTACCCTTTTCTCAAATCCTGAATTCTGCCAATGGCTCTTCACTCCTAGTAAATGGCCTAGCTTCCTACTTCCCAGAGAGAACATAAGTCATGAGCAAGTATTTGCTCAGATTCCCGCCACCTATCCTGTGGATACCCTTTCTCGGTGACAGAGGAAGAGGTGACGTTCTCCTGCCTAAGGCCGCCTGTGCTCAGATCCCTTCCCCACCTGCAGCCTGAGGGACTCCATCCTTCCATTTTCTCCTTCTCTTCCTGCATTTTCAACCTTTCCACTGCCACTAAAACCTGCTTATAGGCATGCAAACATTCTCAAATCTTAGAAAAAGAACCCATGTACCTCACACTTTCCTATGTACAGCCTTGCATTACTGCCCCAGGATAGTCAAAGATCTTGCATCCCTGTCTCCAAGCCTTTACTTTTTAAAAAATTTATTTACTGAGGTGACACTGATTAATAAAATTCTATAGGTTTCGGGTGTACAATTCTACAATACATCATCCGTATATTGTATTGTGTGTTCACCACCCCAAGTCAGGTCCCCTGCCTCCAAGCCTTTACTTTCAACCTCGGCTCACTAGTGTCTGGTTCTGATTCTCACCTGTCAAGGTCACTGATTGCGCTGTTCAATTGGCTAGTGTCTCTGATACGGGTGCAGCAGTCTAGGAGGTCACGCACCTAGCCATCTCGATGGCATTCCTTTTAATACTTAGTCCTCTTCCTAGTCTTTCCCCCTAAGCCTACAAGATCAGGGGCAAAAACTGAAAGAAGCGTGGAGACTAAGAAGTCTGCCTTACCTCGATGCCAGGATCTGTGAAGCTTTTATATCCGCCACAACGTGTAGGAAATAGTAACTCATAAAAACTCTTCTCTGCAGCAGGAGGAAGGCAAAACATATACTGTCCCAAATGATTCCTGCTTCACCACTGGGTAGTTTACATGAGGAATCAGCATCAGCTGAGGCAAAAAATTAAAATAAACATCCATTTTTTTTCTGTTATTTTATAAAACCTGTGTGTGATCAGGCTTGGGAAATCACATAGGCATGAAAGCAACATTCTGATCCATCAACGCACTTATGAGTTGATTTATTTACGAGCAAGGCCATGCACTTAAAGTCCAATATGAACATTGATCCATGAGGCTGACCGCAAAGCGAACTCTCGACAACGTAAAGCATAGGAAGGGCTCTTTGCTAAGGAAGACTCCTGAGTGTTCCTTTCTTTTAGGGAGAGAGGGACTCCTTTCCCCCCAACCCCCAACAAAGGCCATAAAGAAATAATGACTGCATGTCTCCATGCCAGAGGCAATGCTCTGGCACAAAATAAAACACCCTTTCTGGAAACGGGCTCTAGCCAGAGGTAGGCAGCACACTGGGGCCTATTAGAAGAAAGGGTCTCAACAGCACATCTGGTCCTAAGTCAAAGCAAATCCCCTGTGACTCTTCATCCTCCGCACAGTATAGCCTGGGTTAGCAGCTGCAGTGGGGGAGCATCATGTTCAAGCTGCCCCCATTCTAGGCACCGGGGAGGACCGTGTGTGGAGTTGCCCTGGGTGCTGATGCAAGAGGCAGAGAGATGAAAATGCGACTTCTGCCTCTGTCTTGGTGGGAGTGTAACTCCAGAAAATCTGCAGCTTTTCCCACTTGTTTCCTGAGTTTGAGGTTCTCTGAGCTTCCAGAGGAGAGAAGAACATGGAAGTCAGGATTACACTGATGCCCGAAGATTCTAACTGCACACAACCACAGGTTTGAGTGGGCATCTGTAACTCTTCCTAATCATAATTCAAAATGTTCAGGGAGCTACTACAGGCAACACCCAGCCTCCAGACCTTCCAGGATTTAGGATGTTTTTAGATGACAATCCACGATGTCCAGAATAGGAGCATTTCCTTGTTATGGACAATAGAGTCATAATGTACTGCAATCCTATAGCCTCCATGTACAGATCAAATTGAACTCCATTTTTATCTCTCTCTCTCTTTTTACATGTTTTGGCCCAACGTTTAAATTATAACAATACAGCTGTCCTTCCCTCTTTGTCGAGTGCACAAATTTTTGTGCACCGGGCCTCTAGTTTCTAATAATATAGAACCCCTAAAATAACTACAAGGGTTCGAAAACATTTCTTGTTGGGCTGTAGACTGAAGTTTCCTGGCCCCTTCTGAGTGGACAAACATGGTACAACCTCCCCCAGGACAGCGTGGCTGCTCACAACCTTGAGAGATCAGTGAAACTAAAATGGTTTGTGTTTCTTAAAACATGAAAAGCCATGTGCTGCTTCAAACCTGTCCCACAGAACGTTATACCTAAGGTTACTCACCTGACCTTATTCTAGTTGTTCCACTAGGGAACACTTGCAAGAGTGAGTTCAGATTGGTTTTCCACTCAGTACATAAGTATTGAGTAGATGGGACGAGTGCAAAGTTGAATTGCAAGCCCCATCAACTGGGTTTTCAGCCTCTTGCCTCTTTGATTCTATTCTTTTTATCCTTCCCCTCCCTTCTGCTTTTTCTCACATTTCAAGCCAACTTAAGGGTCCCCATAGATCTCATCAACCTCTCTTAATATCCTCAACTCTGTCCCATCGTCACAGGTCACAATCGCTTGGCATATGGCAATTCTGCAGAATCTCAGTGGTGTGCCAGCCCTGTGCTTGGACGGGCTATCATCAGAGGTGCAGAAACGCATGGTTGGCCGACTAGCCACTGCACCGCACTCTCTGGAAGCTTGTCTGCTCCCCTCCAGTGGCTATTTCACACTTCTTACCCTTTTCTCAAATCCTGAATTCTGCCAATGGCTCTTCACTCCTAGTAAATGGCCTAGCTTCCTACTTCCCAGAGAGAACATAAGTCATGAGCAAGTATTTGCTCAGATTCCCGCCACCTATCCTGTGGATACCCTTTCTCGGTGACAGAGGAAGAGGTGACGTTCTCCTGCCTAAGGCCGCCTGTGCTCAGATCCCTTCCCCACCTGCAGCCTGAGGGACTCCATCCTTCCATTTTCTCCTTCTCTTCCTGCATTTTCAACCTTCCCACTGCCACTAAAACCTGCTTATAGGCATGCAAACATTCTCAAGTCTTAGAAAAAGAACCCATGTACCTCACACTTTCCTATGTACAGCCTTACATTACTGCCCCAGGATAGTCAAAGATATTGCATCACTGTCTCCAAGCCTTTACTTTTTAAAAAATGTATTTACTGAGGTGACACTGATTAATAAAATTCCATAGGTTTCGGGTGTACAATTCTACAATACATCATCCGTATGTTGTATTGTGTGTTCACCACCCCAAGTCAAGTCCCCTGCCTCCAAGCCTTTACTTTCAACCTCGGCTCACTAGTGTCTGGTTCTGATTCTCACCTGTCAAGGTCACTGATTGCGCTGTTCAATTGGCTAGTGTCTCTGATACGGGTGCAGCAGTCTAGGAGGTCACGCACCTAGCCATCTCGATGGCATTCCTTTTAATACTTAGTCCTCTTCCTAGTCTTTCCCCCTAAGCCTACAAGATCAGGGGCAAAAACTGAAAGAAGCGTGGAGACTAAGAAGTCTGCCTTACCTCGATGCCAGGATCTGTGAAGCTTTTATATCCGCCACAACGTGTAGGAAATAGTAACTCATAAAAACTCTTCTCTGCAGCAGGAGGAAGGCAAAACATATACTGTCCCAAATGATTCCTGCTTCACCACTGGGTAGTTTACATGAGGAATCAGCATCAGCTGAGGCAAAAAATTAAAATAAACATCCATTTTTTTTCTGTTATTTTATAAAACCTGTGTGTGATCAGGCTTGGGAAATCACATAGGCATGAAAGCAACATTCTGATCCATCAACGCACTTATGAGTTGATTTATTTACGAGCAAGGCCATGCACTTAAAGTCCAATATGAACATTGATCCATGAGGCTGACCGCAAAGCGAACTCTCGACAACGTAAAGCATAGGAAGGGCTCTTTGCTAAGGAAGACTCCTGAGTGTTCCTTTCTTTTAGGGAGAGAGGGACTCCTTTCCCCCCAACCCCCAACAAAGGCCATAAAGAAATAATGACTGCATGTCTCCATGCCAGAGGCAATGCTCTGGCACAAAATAAAACACCCTTTCTGGAAACGGGCTCTAGCCAGAGGTAGGCAGCACACTGGGGCCTATTAGAAGAAAGGGTCTCAACAGCACATCTGGTCCTAAGTCAAAGCAAATCCCCTGTGACTCTTCATCCTCCGCACAGTATAGCCTGGGTTAGCAGCTGCAGTGGGGGAGCGTCATGTTCAAGCTGCCCCCATTCTAGGCACCGGGGAGGACCGTGTGTGGTGTTGCCCTGGGAGCTGATGCAAGAAGCAGAGAGATGAAAATGGGACTTCTGCTTCTGTCTTGGTGGGAGTATAACTCCAGAAAATCTGCAGCTCTTCCCACTTGTTTCCTGAGTTTGAGGTTCTGTGAACTTCCAGAGGAGAAAAGAACATGGAAGTCAGAATTACATTGATGCCCGAAGATTCTAACTGCACACAACCACAGGTTTGAGTGGGCATCTGTAACTCTTCCTAATCATAATTCAAAATGTTCAGGGAGCTACTACAGGCAACACCCAGCCTCCAGACCTTCCAGGATTTAGGATGTTTTTAGATGACAATCCACGATGTCCAGAATAGGAGCATTTCCTTGTTATGGACAATAGAGTCATAATGTACTGCAATCCTATAGCCTCCATGTACAGATCAAATTGAACTCCATTTTTATCTCTCTCTCTCTTTTTACATGTTTTGGCCCAACGTTTAAATTATAACAATACAGCTGTCCTTCCCTCTTTGTTCTTCCATTCCCAAATATGCTTCTCATACTTACGCATTTTATAGCCTTTGACTGTGCAGGCCAGGCTGAAAGCCTGGATCAACCAGCAACTATTTTTAACCAATTTTTCGATGTATCCACATGCTCCTATCTGAAAAACAAATGGAAAAGGCAAATTCTGAGATTCTGCACCCAGAAAAAAAGCTTGATGTCTTGTGATCCTAACAGGTGCAAGAATTCACAAAGTCTCAGTGCCAATGACTGTGGGAGGTCCTGACACGTAAAATTATAGTCACCACTGGGTGGTGCTATGAATGCTTCCGGAGCATCATCATATCCCAGGGAAAATTAGACCCAATGAGTAAAGGAAGCATCTTCAAGGTGATGTTTGCTGCACTTGGAAGCACCTCTCTTTTCAAAGAGGAAATCTTGGATTATCATAGAAACAAGCTGAACTCTGTGATCGTGAATGGGTAAGCACTGAACTCTAGGACTTTGATTTTAGTCCAGTTATTTCCTGGCCTGTCAGACATATGAAACCTATGCTCTTTGCCAGGACATCATATCACAAACAAGCTGCATGATATATGGTTCTTAGAATAGGAGCTGCTTTTTTTTTTTGTGCCAATTCTCTGGGTAAAGGAATATGTTTTTTGTTGATTTGATTTTTTGTCTTATAACAATGCTTTCTTGTCATGTATTACACATGAATTATTGTAAGCCAACACATAAAAGTGATGGCTGAATTATGCAGATTTCTTGGGGACATGTGAGATAGGAGAATATAATTAGAATTTGCTCCCAAATCAGCAGTAACCCAGCATCAGTACATGCTTTCTGAATTCACATTTCAGTCCTACACAGCCATGCTTTTGTTCAGGTTCCCAAGTTGGGAATATTCTCCCTGCCTTGTCTACCTGGACACCCTTCAATCTCTCTTTCAAGTCTCTGATGGGTTCAAATGGCATCACCTCTAAGAAGCCTGTTCCCAACTTACCTAGGCAATATATTAAGTACCCCTTTTTGTTTTATTTTCCTGAACCCTTGTGATAATTAGCATCAAAAGATCATATAATTATAAGAAGGTCTATCTTTCCTTTCAGAATGTGAGTTCCTTGAGGATAAAATTTGAGTGCTATATATTTTTATCTCTTCAAGATATAAAACAGTGCCTAGCAAAAAACAGTGCAATTTAGGTTTACAGAATGAATGAATGAACTTTGTAGACAGATTTTCCAGGAATGGTTGTAGGGATCAGCTTCTAGTAATTGATCCTTCACCATCAGATTGGCTTTAGAATGAAATGGTGTTCTGTTGTCTCTCATACCCTCTCCTGTAACTCCCAATGCTACCCCAAATGTACATAAATACTAGTGCAGTAAAATTGATAAATAAAAGTCACTTGTAGTGTCAACTAGAAAATCAACATTTCAATGGATTGTAGACAAAATAAATTATTCAAACACATATTCATGCTTACACAGACTTGACTTTCCAAGACCTCCAAATACAGCAGTGGATGTGCCGTTGCCCCCTCCCTCCCTCCCCAAATCAAATGCTTTCAGAGTTAAATTGCCTGCCTGGTGAGCTCATCTTTAAGTAGTTAGGAAGGGGAGAAGCAGGAAGTCATTACATCACTATTCTTCTAATGCATTATCACCTATAGCCTGGGAGTAGCAGGTACTAGGAGTAACTTTGAGTTAGGGCCAACTAGAGATGTATTAACTCCTTCAGTTCATGGAAGATTATTGTTTAATATCCTGAAATAACAAAGAACTTAACTGTGTCCTAAAAGATTTTATGTGACGCTGGGGTTACAAGGGGGCAGTTTGAGTTATCGATCAGGTCAGGGAGAAAGCTGTGCTCTGGAACATGGAACTTTAAGAGCAGAGCAGCCAAACTTTGAGGAAGAAAGAGGTGGTTTTTGCCTCAATCCTTTGTTGCCTTAGCTGGGCCCTGGTCAGAATGCCTGTGCTCAGAGGCAGCTGTGACACTGCGATTGCTTCTGTATCTACCCACATCTCATGTGTACATAAAACATTCATGCTTTCAATAGTCTATTTCATTTCATTCCTCTCTCACACAATGTCATAGAGAACTATGATTTTGTATTTAATAATTCTATAACTCTTTCTAGATAAGAGAGTTGCTTTTAGCCAACATAATATGACTTTAAAGGGTCATTTTGCACTATAGTAAGAATGATGATAAATTAGTCCTCAGAAGAGATGGGATTTTAATTAATAAAATATGTTTTAAAGTTTATTCTGATGAATACATATTCTCTCATCATGTGACCTTGAAATGGTGGAAAAAAGAAAAAAAGATTCTGCTTAATATGGCAAAACAAAGAGTAATAAACGGTCATTTGAATTCTGAATTTGCAGCATCTCATTTGGGGCTTTTAAGAGAGCAGTGTGATGGATGATGGGTTTTTAATAACCACTGAATAGACTGTTTACTCTTACACTGAAACCACAAATGTGTTACACAGTGGGAGCCACTTACTGACAGTATGTTTTTCATCGTAATCACAAAGACGTTGTAAGCAATCAGCCAGTCCCAATAACGCAGGATGCTCTTGATAGGCTTCAATAGCAAATCACCCCCAAAGAGCAGGAAATAGAAGCAGGCCACCAAGTAACCCATGCAAAAGATGCTGATCCTTGTTGTCCCAGTGATGAAGATGATTGTGAGGACGAACCAGAAGAGGTAGCTAAAGATGATCACTTTGGACATGTCTAAGTATGATCTGGAAAATAAAACCAAACCATCAAAGGACAACAACAAAAACAAATAAAAACATTAAGTTGGGAGATTCTACTTTAATGAGGGTAAAAACCATACTATAGCCCTAGCGGGTTTGGCTCAGTGGATAGAGCGTCAGCCTGCGGACTCAAGGGTCCCAGGTTCGATTCCGGTCAGGGGCATGTGACTTGGTTGCGGGCGCATCCCCAGTGGGGGGTGTGCGGGAGGCAGCTGATCAATGTTTCTCTCTCATCGATGTTTCTAGCTCTCTGTCTCTCTCCCTTCCTCTCTGTGATGAAAAGTCAAAATATATTTTACAAAAACCCATACTATATATTTGACTCAGAGGTTCAGCTTTAGCTACTGAAACCCTCTGTCCCATGTTTATTAGTTTTATGTATACAAGCACCTCTCAGTGTCCCAAGAATGAGAGAGAGAGAAAGAGAGAGAGAGAGAGAGAGAGAGAGAGAGAGAGAGAGAGAGAGAAGGAAGTAGAGGTATATACTTGAATTGAAGGGCACACACCAAAGTGGCTTTGAAACGATGCAGCTGTCCTTACCTGCAGTGAATGAAATCTGGGACTGGGTTATATTGGCTGAAGGAGGCCGCATCAAGGCTCATGCAAATCTCCACATTGTCCCCCGCCATGATTCGCACTGCAGCCTTATTTTCATCCTCAAAAATCTGCCATTGTAAGGAGGCACACAGAAGCAGCATGAAGTCATCTGGCAAGACAGAGGTAAGATCATTAAACCTGGGTTTACAGATGCAGGTCCCAGTCCCCATACAGCATGAGCTGCTCCTTAACTCTCAAGGGGGCTGTGTTCCTAAACTGGATTCCAATGTTGGGGCCAAATCCCACCTTCCTTACCATGGGGGTTGCAAGAGCAACCACAGACATTCCAGGGGCATGAAGTGGGAGAGCCCTAGGATTGTGTCTGCACGTTGGTGAGTGAAAGTGTCAGGTGCCAATTACTGGCCTTCAAGACTCTCTTTATTTGCTATTATCTCCCACCAATGTTTTGAGGCGGCCATTTGAGCATTTTCCCCATCTTAATCTTTTTACATGTGGTAGAAGCAGACATCTCTGATTTTCTCTATCATTTCCATTCCCCTTTACATTTGTGATCAAAGACTCTTCCCAGAGCACATACTGTAGTGAAGGCTGGGTGACCGCAGTTGACAATTATGGGTCCATTCTTGAGAGTGGAGACATCTGATGGAGCGGTCCTGGTGGCCAACAGCCCAGAACATACCCTCACTCCAGCCGGGCAGGCAGCCTCCAGCCTAAGTTGCCTTGTTCTTTAAATTAAATCTGCATGTGTTTAGGCAGCTAAGTTGCTCTTTGGTTTTCCACTGGATCCAGCACTACCTGGGTAGGAGTGGATAACCTTGACCTTTGGATGATCAGTCTGCCCTTGAAAGGACTTGGGGCTGGGGCCCAGCTCAGGAGCCTGGGCGATTTGAGTAGCACCTTCCTGGCTAGCACAGTCTTATCTTCAGATTTGGTTTGTGGTGGCAGCTAGAAAAACAGATTCACAAAACACAAGGCCTCCCTCCTCACTCTACCTTCTAGAAGGTGGGTGTGCAGGGGCATGTGTTGGGGGGCAGCGTGTGTGTGTTGGGAGATAAGTTATGAAAGTGAATATGGTATTTCAATGTTTATTAATTTTGCAAATGCCTAATAGGGCAAGTAGAAGCCATTAATGACCTGTGATATTAATGCATCAAGACAAGCCTTTTACATGATTACAAAGAGCAGTGGAAGAAGCAAAGGCACCAATGCCTAATGCATGAAGATGGATTAGCAAACATAAAACCAAATACCAGTGCTCTGTGGCCCCGAGGCTGCAACACTTACAGACGAGAAACACAGGGTTGGGCCGCACAATGAAATCTGGGAAGTACAGCCACTTTATGATGTTGTCATTGAAGTTGGCACCCTTGAATCTCCATGGGTAATCTGCAGGGAGGGAGGTGGTGAGGAGCAAAATCAATAAGCTTCTTTGCTGCCCTTTGCCCACTGTGCCCAACGTAAGGGTGGATCGTAAGAGCAGCTGCTCCTGGGAGGCCACACACCTCTGCAGGGCGCAGGGGGGATGCCGATGCAGATGAAGTACTGGAACGTGATGATGCACGCCAGGAAGCAGCAGTACTTGGGCCAGATCTCCGCGATGGCTTTTCTTCTGCGTCGATACAAGACAGCGATCAGCCAGCAGGCGTGAATCATGGCATAGAAATCCATTCGCTGACCGATTACATTGACTGACAGTAGGAAACAGGTCTGCATAAGGAAAAAAAGAGGCAAACAAATTTGATTTAGACAGGGAAGGGAAGTGGTGTCAGCTATCAGCCCTTTGCAGGGGCAGAGACCTGCCTTCCGGCGGTAGGTTTCTCTGCATGTGTTCACCAGGTCTTTTCTTGTTACGTCTTTAAGGGTGAAGACGGAGATACTGTACAGATTAGACACAGGTACTGTACAGATTACTTCCGAGGGAAACACTGAGTACTTCCCTAGTTACAGGAACCACTTCCACCATGAAGAGAACTACAGCTATGATCTCTTCATGAAAGTCACTGTTTCAAATTCATTCTACTGAGGAACAGGCACTACCACAGCCATTTCAGGTCAAATGGTTCATTTTGGCTAAGGTTACATTTCCAAATGCAGGAAACAGAAAAAAAAAATTACAGCATTTTCGGTTTATAAGGAACCAGTTACAATGACAAGTGACAGGCATCTATGTGTCTGTAGGGCGACAGAGACCCAGAGAGGCAGAGTTCCCTGTTGCAACGGGGCCATTGGCATGTGGTATTGGAAAACTTTCAGCCAGGCCAGGTAAGTCCTTCAGTTGCATCTTCTCCTGCTGATCCCGAGGATCGGTAATCATGGCCTGGAGGTGCAGGACGGAACTCCTGTGGCCAACTGGCCAAAAGCAGCTATTGGGATTGTCACAGAAAATAGAAAACACACCCGCAAGGAAACTCACCTCCAGACCAAACTTGTAGAAGAAGTAATTTATGAAATATTTGGCACAATTAATAATTCCATCATCCAGATGGTGTCTTGTGATGTCATGAAAGATGGTTTTGGATACAGGGGCCGTGAGGTTGTTTCGCCCCCGGTAGTACTCCTGATGGCGGTAAACTGTGACCTCAAAGGCCAGAATGGCCAGCATCAGCAGGTTATTCTACAAAGCAAGAAAACACAGCTGTGTGAAGCCAAAGGCTTTGTGATTTGGTAATTTTAAACAATCCTCATAATAAGTAATTTGATTCCATTTTTGATGTTTAGTAGTAAAATGCTTTATAAAATCCCATCTCTATAATAAGTAGTCTTGAATTCAAAGTTCATTTTCCCTGCTTTCTGGTAACAAGGTGGAGTTATCTCCATTATGCAAATGAGGCTGATTTACATTATCATATGATCTAGAATCTCTAGACAAAAGCCTGTTCCTGAAAAAGTACAAACCTGTACCAGGAAGCAGTGTCCAATTATCTTGGGAGGGTGGTCCAACTTTATTGGCACCAGAAGTGCCACACACTTCTACAGTGTTCTATGTGGACATCCTGGGAAACACACTAAGCTGGAGGAGTGGGATAAGCATAGAGGGGACATTTTTTAACGCCTCTGAAATCTGGCTAGAGAGAGCAGTGTTGAGAAACATGAGGATAAAATAGTAACAATAATAATAGTGATAATAATAATAATAAAGTAGTTCACATTTATGGAACTATATGTGCCAGATACTATTCTAATCACTCCTTTCAAATATCAATTTGTTTTACCCATAAAACAGCATATTACATGACAGATATGGTCAATAGTATTTATAAACATTACAAATATTATCTGCCATATGATATCTGCCAGAGTCCAAGAGAAATGGGATCCTTGGTATATTTTAAAATTCCAGGTGTTGCATATAAATGTTTCACTTTTAAGTACCTTCTCAGCATAATGTTACTAAGATTACTCAGATTATCCATCAAAGTATAATGTGAAAAAATATGAAGTATATTGCTTTCATTACATTTCTTACAACTGCTTGCAAAGTTCCTTTTTCAAAAATATGCTCCTTATTTGATTACCTCTAAATGTAATATATACCATTTATTAAATACTGTAGAGAAACAGAATTTGGACAGCAAAAAATTCTTGTAATGCTATACCTACTTCTCAGAAATAACCATTGCTGACCATTTGCTATATTTTACTCATCTTTATCTTTGTATCTAAAAGAGAGTATACTATGTACGGTGCTCTAAAATTTTTTAAAACATAATAGATTTTGGACATCTTTTAATGTCTGACATTAACAGTCTCCCTCAGTCCTTTAGGGTTCTATAATGTTCCAGCGACTATATCTATCACACTTTATTAAATTAATCACAAACTACTTGATAAATTCCTTTTCAGCACAATATGATACTGATTTTAATATTGAGTCATTTTTCTAGAAGGCGATCCTAAATGCCACATAAGATGAGGTTCCTATCGTTGTGATATTAGGGGTTTCAAGGGAAAGGATTCTAGAACATAACTACACAGAGGCACCAACTCAGCACAACGAAGCCTTTACCCTCAGGTAGACGAGCAACGGCGAAGACTTCCTCAGGCCCACCCACTCTGTTGGATCCACAGGAGCGTTGTAGAGTAGAGACTTGTTCAACTGGTTGAGGGGTATGTCTGTTTCATTCTCATTTGGCTGAAAAGAAGAGGAAAGGAATTGGCTCCACAGATTAGGAGAGTTCAGGTTATTCTCCTTCAGTTTTGAGCATAAGAACATGAGGGAAATGGGAGGGAAAGACCCATTTGAAAGGGAAATCTCATCAGGAATAGAGGCTTGGGCCAAGCATTCTAGGCCAGAATGTATCCAACCTGCTGAGGTGATTTAATGACCAGACAGAATGTGCTTGGGGACGTAGGTTCCCCAATATCCACCTCGTTTCCCTAAAGGCCAAAAAGATTCCCCGTCTTTGAGGCTCACCAAGGAACAGTTAACAGAAAAAGTCTCAGGCTTAATGGTTTGCAGCTGGTACAACATTTTGCAGACGATGATCACACATGTCCAGACAGTGCAGACACTTGAAGCCAGACGGCGTAGCTTGGTGTATGGCAGAGCAAAAGCCCAAGAAATCAAAAATACATAGTTGAACACAGACACCTGAAAACATAAAATCAGAAATGGGGACAAAAATACATAACATGGCATAACATCCACAAAACATGGCAATTTGATTTATTCAGTTCAGCTCAGTTCAACAGAAGTTGATTGAGTTCTGAGCATGTGTAAGGCATTGCCTTAGATGCTCAGATATATGTCTTGTATGGCAGACAGATATATAACCAGATGATGTCAATATAACGTAGCAGTAATAAACTATAGATGCAAACAGGCTCCTGTGAGAATACCCAGAAGGGGTCCCTAGCCCCATCTGGAGCTTCAGGAAGCATTTCCTGGAAAGAATGATGCTGAGCTGATCCTTGAGGGGTGCATAAAGTCAGCCAGGCCAAGAAAGTGAGAAGTGCATTTGAGATAAAGTGTGTGTGAGCATAAAGGAGTGTGGTGGCAATAGGTGACCATAAACAACTGGGAGTTCCAGAGTTGAAAGCAGTGAACTGCAGTATGAGACTGGAGATGTGGCTGAGAGCTACGTTTTGACAGCTTTTAAAACTATGCTGTGGCCCATGAACCCCTTGTGTAGAAAATAGTGAGTCTGAAGGGCTCTACGCAGGGAAACCTTAGGAAAGATTAGCATTTTATTTAGATCCATGTAACTGAAGGACAGAGGTGCATCCATGGGGTTAGACCAGAGGAAAGGAAACCAGTCACATGCACTATAATAGGCCAGGAGGACAATGACAAGGGTCCAAACTCAGACAGTGGAGCAGAGACAGGGAGGACTCATGGATTTGAGATGGGAAGTGAAATCAGCGAGATTTAATGATTGATTGGCTTGGAGGTGGGGTGCTGGTAGGTCAGGGAGAAAGTGTAAGGAATGCCTCCCAGTTTTCTGGCTTGATAGAATAACAGCGCCACTACTGAGATAGATCTGAAGTGAGGGGCAGGTGTAAAGAGGAAAGGCAAGGCCCTGGCAGGGTATCTCAGTTGGTTAAGGCATCATCCTGATATGCCAATGTCTCAGATTTGATCCTAGGTCAGGGGACATACAAGAGTCAACCAATAAATACATAAATAAGTGAAACAACAAATCAATGTTTCTCTCTCTCTCTCTCTCTCTATAAATACATTAAGTGAAACAACAAATCAATGTTTCTCTCTCTCTCTCTCTCTCTCTCTCTCTCTCTCTCCCCCTTCCTCACACTCTCTAAAAATCAATAAATATATTTTTAAAAAGAGGGAAGACAATGACTTCAACTTGGTTTAAGACTGTGAGTATTTGTTGATTAGGTGAGATATGTACTCATGTCTAACAGTTCTCCATAGCTAATCATTCACTGAATGGTATAGAAGCACTACCATCTTACTCAGCCATGGAAAATGCTTATTTATTCTGGGTACTATTAGAATAATATCTGAATATTATTAAAATAATTTCCTAGGAATATTTAATATTACCAGGTAAAAATAACTGCATGCAGCCAATTGACAAACTTGAACATGTACTACAAGTGCTAAGTGCTATGAGCTATGAAGTATGGTTCCTGTTTGGCTCACAAATCTAGACAGCAAGAAACACGGAGACTCCAGGGCAGTATTAAGTCTGCAGTTTGTAATGTACTACTCTACTTAACTACTAGACACTGTCCAGAGCAAGGAACTGCTTAAAATTAAGTGCTGAAATCTTAGGGTAGTAAGAGCTGCCTTACAGAGTTAATTGAGGATGAAAGAAATACTGTATGTAGAAGTGCCCTGTAAATGTAAAGCATTCACCAGCAAAATAAATGTTAGCATTTAACAAAATATTTTGACTAGCTAGGTGACTCCTCCTCCTCAGTTATCAGCAAGTGGTATGTTAAAAAGTAAGTCCTAGTAAGGATATTATAAAATTAAGTCTCTTTGTTATTTTTTATTATGTATTTAAGGCATTAAGTATAAAAATAGTACAATAAAATTTTAGAGGAAAAAGAGAAGAAAAAATATTATCTTTTATTAAGTCCTAACTAGGTTCAAGGTAACATATCCTGTGTGGATCCCTGTCTTCAAGAAACACATGGGGTCATGCAAGCGAGAACTGGATAAACAGCCTATGACAAGAGGAAGGGCACACACGGCTGATCACCTAGCCCAGCATTGGGAAAAATTGCCCAGGGAACCTGAGGTCAATCAGGAGTTAGCCTGGCAGAGGAATCACTAGCCCAAGGCCTTACAGGCAAGAGAAAGCATAGGGTGGACATCTTCAGAGAAGCACATAGTTTACCATGAGAGCAGTGTGATCTGAGTCCATTGTAGAGGACTTTGAAATTTACCAGGCAGATTGGGTGTCTAGGAAAGGAAATGGCGAAGTGGTGTAGGATCAGATCAATGTTATATCATGTTATTGGGAGAATGACAGAGAGCTGTTGAAAGTTTTCAAGTAGAAGATTAACATGATCACGCTGAAAAGATTATTCTGACTGTGTGACAGAATACGTATTAGGATGGAGGATTAGAGCAGAGCTGGGGATCTGTTAGAGCAATTGAAAAGGGGGACCAATATGGATAGAGGCAATGAGCTCCGTGTTGGAGATATTCAGTGAAGGTGCGTTGGGGACAGGCAAGAGTGAGGTCATGTTCAGTTGTCACCTGGGGATATGAGAATGGAGTTCAAAGAGGGGACTGGTTGAAGACACAGATTTACAACTCATTGCATGTAGATGGCAGGTGAATCATAGGAGCTCACCCACAGAAAGTCTAGAACCAGAAAAGGGGTGTGCAAATAGAACCTGAAGAACCCTAAGAGAGAGGCAGGAAGAGAAGGGCCAAAGCCGTGGGGGGAGGCTGGGGATGTGTGCTGATTTGGAAAGCAAGAGAAGAGACAATTTCAAGGATGAGAAAATGATCATTAATATCCAATGTCACAGACAATCAAGTGAAATGTGGACTGAGCAGACTCCGTGAGGTGGGTGTTTTTCTTTTTCTCATTTTACAAAGAGGAAAACTGGGGCTCGGATAAGTGGGACACTTTGTTCAATGCGAATGTGGTTGACGGTGGTCTCATCACTTCCTTGGTGATAGGGATCTCATGGAATGCACAGTAAAAAAAGAAAGACAAATAGCTGGACCCCCACTAATACCCAACAAGTCAGAATTCCTAAGGAAAGGGCTGATAATCCTATAGAATAAATGTCCACGTGATTTTCATTATCAAAGAATTTTGGACAATAACTTTATTCCATAATGCCTTCCTAACAAAACACTTTTACACAAGTTGTCATTTTATCTGAACATAAACTTATGAAGCTTGAAGCCACTGCCTTGAGAGAGGAGCCTCCAAGAACTGTGGTTCCTGGCCCTGTGCTTACCCATCCCTCCCTCAGAGAACCCGCAACTTCAATGCAACCTTCTGCGTGTGATCTATCTCCCTCCCTGTGTGCCCAGAGCTTCTAGGGGACACCTGTAACCCAATAGTTAATGTGACTTTGGTTTTATTTACCAGCCATTACCATCAGACTGCAAGCTGAGACCAGAAGTGTGTTTAATGCTTTTATGCCAGCATTTAGCACAGTGTAAGTATTCAATTTATTGTAATTTATTATAAGCATATAATAAAGGCTAAATGCATGCTTAGTGAGAGTGAAAGTAATAATCAAAATAATAATAATGAAACATCATCTGACATTTAGGAAGAATCTCAAGCTTGCAAAGTTCTTTACTTCCTTCCTTCAGTCAGTAAACATTCATTGAGCTTCTACAATTGGCCATTCCCTCTGGGAGTTACTAAAGATACTAGAAGAAATATATGGTCCCTTTCCTCAAAGAATAACTTGATCTCCTAGAGCACTCTAGGAGCCTTAGAAATGAAAACACAGTTATGTATAAAAGGGGAAGAGAATGTCACATATTTTTAAATTAGGTCATTACAAAGTGGCATCATTCCTCAGTAAGGAATGTTGATATGAGACAGGTTTCTGTAACAAATTCTTTCTCAGAGTCCTCTCCTCCCTTGGATGCCCATAATGATAACCCTGGAAAGGTTTAGTATTTGTGGTAGAATGACCATGAACGTTTGTGAAAACAAGCTCCCTGGCTGATGGCCTTGGCTGAGGATAGTTTGAATCCAAAGAATATGGTCACACCTCTTAAAGATTTAACTGGGGATGCTGACTTAGTTCTCATTTTGCCATTTACTAATCAGCAATTTTTGAGAAAGGATATATTTTGTATTAATCAAAAGTAATGAGCTACAAATAGCAAGTGTCATTGCTGTCTTGTCTCAAAACATCTATACATATAAAAGGCTAATATGCAAAGTGTCCCCTTGGGAGTTTGACCGCTCACTATGATGTGCGCTGATCACCAGGGGGCAGCACGGAACAAAGGAAGGCCCCGGTTGGCAGCCAGCAGCCTGGGAAGGGAGGCCCCAGCTGGCAGCTGGAAGGCCCCGATTGGCCCTGATCACCGGCCAGGCCTAGGACCCTACCTGTGCATGAATTTCATGCACCAGGCCTCTAGTCCAATAATAAATAAGGTGAACTCTACTAATAATTTTATTAAATTTTGGAACCCAAGTTTATTCTTTGGTAACATAAACTGTTGTTTATTTCTCAAAGAGAATTTGGGGAGATAGATTTTCTCACTTGTAGTACAGAAAGGCAGCTTGCTCTCACCACTTCAACTAATGAAAGCAAGTCACCTTTGTAATATGACCAAGCCAATTAGGAACTAAGCCAGGAGCCTTTTTTCCCCTTCCTTCGGGACAATTGTCCTTCTCTTTTTTGTAAAATAAAGTGTATGTGCCTATCTTAGGTCTTGATGTTCCAATGTATTGGGAATTACATGTCCAAAAAATAATAGACAGTTGGAAAAGAAAAATAATGCCCCCCTGTTTGACCTGACAATGCAACAAATGTTCACTTGCCTCTTTCACAGAGACCCAGATAATGTACGATGAAACAATTTTGATGATGTGCAACTCCAAAATCCACCACATGAACACCTGCAGCTTGTGAAAGTACTCCAGGAACTTGAGGAAGAGCACTGTGAGGCGGTCAATCACCAGATGCCATTTGTTCCTTAAATCTGCAAAACAGGAATTCACCCAAGAACATACAAAAAGTGGACATGTTTGTTGTGTGTGTGTTTTTGAGAGGGAGGCATTGTTATTTAAAGCATATCTTGTAACGTTCAGTTTGGAATAAGAAAATGCAAAATAAAAGTAGTGGGTAAACTCTAAGACTACCGAAATCTGGTGAAGGGTAAGTCTAACACCCCCATGTGGTGATGATGACTTAGGCAGCATGTCCAGGGACAAGGTTACTTTGATCTCCCTTTTAATTTAATTAATGTGAAGAAGAATCTTGACCTGATGATCTCTTAAAGCTGAACTATGATTCCCTAATTTCCTGGGAATATTAAGTAACACGAGCTCCATCTAAATGACATTCTTATTGCCAAAGTCATGCTTCTGTAAGTGCCATGCTTCTTCCAGCGGCTTGACTAGAGAGTGGGGAAAGCTCTCGGTGGCCTGCGGGAGCAGCCAGGCAGCCGGCTGCCGGAGGTGGGAAGAGCCTGCACCCCTGGCAACAGCAAAGTGAATGCTAAGCATCAGCGTGACCCAGCCTCAGTTCACAAAATGTGGTCAGGCTCATTTTAATCATAGCTTCCAATCAAATTAGTCGTTTTCTTCTTTCTGCCTTTGCAAATGGAACAGAAACATTTCACTAGAGCAACCACAACACCACACCCCAATTTTTGTTTTACTCAATGGGTCTAATATGGATCTGTTTGGTGCAAGTCTGTGCTTCATTTGCTGGTCTGTCTGCCACCATTTCCTGAGCAGCTCCCGGCAGTGAGTGAATTACCTGATGTCTCTTCCTCCTCTTCATCTTCTTCTTCTTCCTCCTCCTCCTCCTCGCTGTCTTTCCCAAGTTCACCCTTTTCCACTTTTTCAGAGCATCCCTCTGGTTTCTCCTCACCAAACTCAGCCTCCTGCTTTCCCTCCAGCTTCTCTGGGCTGGCGGTCAGGGTCAGGTTCAGCATGGCGAGGTCTGGCAGGCTTCCTTCAGGGTGGGCCAGCCTGTTGGCAGAGAGCAGCGGAGTCAGGAGGGGCAAGGAGGCTGGGAGACAGCCGAGTGAGTGAGGGGCGTGTTACAGGAGGAGAAACAAAAATGAACATCAGTGCGTTTGCACAGGCCTTGCAAGGTGGGGTGGTTAGCCTCTTGTCACTTTTTTTTTTTAAAAGCTTTTTCTAAAACCAACTGTAAACTCACTTAGGTTTTGTTATCTCTTCCAATTCAGGTTGTAGTGATTAGTCAAGTCATGAGAGCTCTCGACACCTAAACTTGACATTTTTCCCGGAGGAGAAAATGGTCAGAGTTTAGGATGTAGAAGCATGAAATGGTGTCATGTAGAGCAAGCATTTCATGGCTTCACAGGGGGACTTACGCATTTTGGTGGATTGGTAATTTTTTCTTGATGCTGCTCAAAGTAATTGAAATAGAAAGGAAAAAAAAAGGAGATGAGAACAGAAGAGTTATAAGGACTATCAGAGATCACACATCATGCTACATATCATCCACTATGTGCGGCTGCGGGAAGTGCTAACGCAAATGCATTCCAGGGTGGCATCGGCAGCGTGCATGTGCTGGGGACCCTGGGCTTGGCAACTGGTTTGAGAGTGGACAGGACTGCAGGTTGTAAGGGAGAGAACATGTAAGCTACTGAGGCAAATCATGTCATGCTTTTTTAGTAACGCAGCAAACCATCCCTCAAGAACCAAGTCATTCACATTTTATACAGGTTTTAAAAAGATTCTTAACTACTGTGTGCTTTCAGTCAACCCTTGCATAGACTCATCCCATTCTGCCATCATTTCAAGCATATGCGGTGGGTGCTAAATGCTTCCAGAAGGGTGTCTGCATGATGTCCCCGTTCACAGGCACGGATGTGACCTGCTGTGCTAGCCTTGAGAGAGGGCAGGGGAGCAGCCTCACCGAGCAGGGACAGCAGCCAGGGCATTGCAGCTGATTTCACAGTGGATAAGAACAAGTATGATCTATATCTTGATTTTTTAAAACGTTCTTTTTATTCATATTCAAATGAATGTTTGAAGGAACACTTGTGGGTAATAGAGTAGGTATTAGGAAAAGGTCTGCCGGAGATCCTGGTGGTCTTCTCCATTTGTCATAATTAATCTATACATATCAGCTTCGTTGTCACAGGATGAACAATTAATAATGTTATCCTACCTGTATAATTGTGGGCTCTGAGTAAATTATTTAACCTTCCTGGGATTTAATTTATTTTCTCTAAAATGAGGAAATTTGGCTAGATAAAAATCTAAGCTTACTTGCAAATGGTTGGTTTTATATTTGAAACACACCAATGATTGGATAACTATTGGAATGAATCTACATTGTCCTTCAATTTTCAGAGAGGTTATCATTCAAAAATAATTACTTAAAATTTTTTTATTGATATTTAGAGAATGAAGAAGGGAGAGGGAGAGAAACATCGATGTGAGAACGAAACATCGATTAGCTGCCCTGACCGGGAATCAAATTGGCAACCCAACCAACTGAGCCATGCCGGCCAGGGCAACCAACTGAACCATGCCGGCCTGCTTGTTGTCAAGCAGGTAAATTAAATAATGCCAGAAACAAATTATCAATTGCATGAAGAAATAACATTCTAAGGATGTTTCAGCCCTGCTGGAAGGAGTTAAGTGGACATATTTTCTAAAGCTAGTCAATGGACCCTGCCATGTTTGGGAAAAGTTGCCCAGTCTTGAAACTGCCATATCAAATGTTACACACCAGCACTGCGCATCACACCGCAGTGAGCACACGGCTGTTCCTGTTTGTCGGCACTCTACAGAGCCAATGGTGCTAAATGCAAAAGCAGTCAGGTGCTGTGGTTGTCAGGTGTCAGTATGTATCTGTTCTCTTCAGCATTGCCAGGGGCTTGCATTTTGTAAGTGAGAAGATAAACATTTTTGTCACGACAGGGATTTCTAGCTTTTACTGTGGAAGTATGGCCATCTCAGAGTGCGTTTCTAATGTCTCCATCAACACTGCCATGGCTTGGTACTGACAAAGAGCTTTCTAATAATTCGTGTTATTTATGGAGTAAAGCACAGAGATGAAGCTGTTTCTGCACCTGCTACGGTGGCTACATAACAAAAGTCCTCAAGCAACAAGGCCCCAAAGTGCCCTTCCACACAGGGTATACTGAGTGGAGTTTATTGAATGAAAGACTCAAAGAAAATACAGTTTTCTTTCCTGAGTCTCCAGGAAAGAATGTATACCTTCATTTAGCCTTTCCCCCCACAAGCAAATGAAAAAGAAAGGATCCAGATTTTTCAAGCTACACTAAAAATCACACTCTAGGACCAACATTCCCTGAAACGTTTGGCTAAGGAACTTAAAGCACTGGTAATTTTTTTTACTGATTATCACGTGTGAATTACCGAATCATCAATATGAAGGGTTTCTATTTCAGGCCTCCAAATAGCCCCCTCCCTCCTACTTCCATTAATCCCACTTTTTTCATGCCTTTTCCCACGGGAGCTCATTTTCCTCTCTGCATTTTCTTTAACCATGCTTATAACTTTGTTGCCTTGTTTTTATTATGATTCAGGCTCTGAGCATTAATCCTCTCATTATTTCTTAAATAAAAGTTCTCTCCCTGACTGTTCTTTTGCATTCTAACAAAACAGATGATATTTATCTGTTTATTCACCCTCTCTTTCCTTCATGATTACACAGCCCTTTGTGTGTGTGTTTCTCTATTTATACCAACATCATTTTATTCTAATTATGATTCTGAGGGCTCTCTCCTGGAGGTCAGAAATCCAGTCGTACTCTACTCATATCCCTTGCAAAATTCAGCATTGTGCTTGGCATACACTATGATTCATTGACTGTTTGGTGACCAAATTCTATGCATTGGAGAGGCATTTTTTTGTTGTTTTTGTTAATCCTCACTGGAGGATATTTTTCCCTTGATTTTTAGAGAGGGTAAAAGGGAGAGAAAGAGACCGAAACATCAATGTGAGAGAGACACATCGATTGGTTGCCTCCTGCACATACCCTGACCAGGGCAGGGGAACCTGCAACCAAGGTACATAACCTTGACGGGAATCAAACCCAGAACCCTTCAGTCTGTGGGCTGAGCTCTATCCACTGAGCCAAACCGACTAGGGCGAGGCATTCTTATTTGAAACAGCAGAAACAGGTTATGTTACATGAGAATTAAAGAGGCTTAATTCTGTAAAAGAATTTGACATTGAAAAGCCACATATTAAGCTAGTTCCCATTAAAGAAAATGGAAATTCTACCTTTGTAAAATCTCCATCTATATTCCATTTACTTATAACTATTTTGATTTGGAATATGTGGTAATGCAAACTGCATTCACCCCATTTATTAGACTACTAGAAAAAAGATTTCTTGCAAACCTATAGTGTTTATAAGTAACATTTAAAGTAGAATTTTATAGTGTTTAAGATTATTTTCTAGAAACTATAAGCACTTTTTGAAGACTGCATTCATAGAGGAGCAAATGACTTGTAAATTTAATATCACATCTTAAACATGTGTGGTACTAATTCCTCCAAACTAATCCACTAGGCAGGATGGGGAGTAAATGGCTTCCATTTCTGTATATGTGGGAGAAATACCCATTGCTCCCTCTAAAGTATTCTAATACACACTGATTACTAATTCAGTTGGCTCTTCCCCACAATTCTTCATATCATTGAAATGTTATCAGTCACCTATTCTCCTCAACACTTTGCCTTGCCTCCTACCTTATAAGGTAATGTCTACATTTTAATCAAAACAGAAGTTGATTGAATGCAGCTAACCCACTTTCATCTGGGACTTAAAAGCACAATAGTGAGCATAAATAAATAAATTAGGGGAGAAATAAAGCTTCTTAATAAAAGCATTAACCTTATCATTCTAATCAAAAGTGGGCTTTCTTCAAAATTGAACACACATACTGCCTTTCAGAAGCACATGTTCCTAATATATGGAGACGGAAGATGATTTGACTTTGGGTGGTGGGCACATAGTGCAGTATACAGATCTTGTAACATAGAAATCTACAGCTGAAACCTATCTGATCCTATTAACCAATGTGGCCCCAATAAATTTAATTTTAGAAAAACCCTCAAGAAGCACATGTTATCAAGTGAGAGACAAGTTTGTTTGGTAACATTTTTTTTCGGGGCATAGCTCTGGCCTTTATTAACATGCTAACACTCAGACAACAGTGGAATACTTCGAGTTTTTAATCATTTTGAATCTTGATCATTCTGGGACTCCTGAGTGAATTCAGGGGCCTGGTGACTTGGGGTAACAAGCATAAGTTTCTCTCAAGAGATAAGTCTCGGGCAATCAGGACTGAAACTTGCATCAGGCTCTGCCTACCTGGCCCATAAACCAATTCCTGTCCTCTTTGGTGTCCCTGCCATCTCCTCATAAAGCAAGTGGTAAACACTTTATGAGAAACACAAAGAGAGAAAGAGATAATAGTCCCTCATGTTTTGAGCGATGAGATTTAAATACTTGCTCAAGATTTCTAACTAGAGTCTGTATTTTACTTCTGTACCTATCAGCTAAAAATTGGAGGTTCAATTTGCTCTCTCAGGTTGTCAACAAACTGGCTTCTGAAAGCAACCAGCCAGTCCTCATTCCTCCTTCTTTCGCAATCTGTACAAGGATGCACTAATTTTTCGCACTTCCTTGTAGAAGTTCAACCCCCTAAGGTTTGCTATTTGGTTGTCAGCCTTGGGATTTTACCTAAGAGAAAAGTGAATAGAATAAAAAAAACTCTTTCAAAGAGGCATGTTAATTGGATTTATTGCAAGATAAGTGTTTCTATTACTTAAATTATTGGTTTTATTACTAATGACATGAAGTTTTGGGAGTGGATATTTTAATTGACCTAGTTAATAAAGTAAGAATAGTTTTAGTAAATGAGATGCCAAAGGATCTTTACTCTGAACTGTTGGGGCACTTGAGGACAAATATATACACAATACTATCAATGCCACTCTTTGTGGTCACTTGCATTTTTTTTATCTCCCCAGCTAGGTGACATGCATCTAAGATAGGGTTGTGTCTTAGTGTCTGTCTTTGTGCCTTTTGTGTTATGTAAATATATTGTGAAATCTGGTGATGTAAAATATCATTCTTCAATATGTAGAGCTATATTTGAAAAAAATCGATGTTTTAATTTTCTTTTCACCATGCACTGTTGTGACAACTTTCACTTCATTTAGTAAATATCTACTGAGGGTCAACTAATGGGTAAGGCCCCAAGGTAGGTGATATGTGGATACCTTGGTGATTTATACAGGGCCTTCAGGCCTGAGGAGCTGACACCTCTGACCAGGGAGATAAGACAAGCAGGCAGCTAGAGGGCTGGGAGGCAAGTGTTGGGAGGCAGCGATCAGAAAGGGCCATGGGAATTCAGAGGAAGGACAGTTACTTTTAGCAGGAAAGCTGGCGCTTATGGGCAAGTCTGTGGAGGAGGTGGTTCTTGAGCTGAGCTCTCAATTATGTGTTGAAGAGAAAGATGAGCTCCCAGGCCAGCCTTGAGCTAATTCTACCAAAGAAATTTGAACCAAGACCAAAGGCTGAGTGAGCACCAGCTGAAGACCCTCGTCAACCTCCTCCGAATCCACTTGGCGGCACCATTTGGAATAAACACCAAATGGTTTGATTTGCAAAATACATCCATGAGCATACCTGAAGACCATTGTCCACTATCTGATGACATAACTTTTCAGTTACAAAACAGTTAGGTGTTTAACATACCAAGAGACCCTTCTTAACAAAAACAAGAGAGAAAACATTGAAGTACCCACCTATTTATTATTAGATATACACGCCCATTGACTTTGGCATGGCTACGAGGTGAGAGGTGGAAGCACAAGGTTGCATGCGGTGGCAATAGAGAGACAGGGTGGAGAGAGAAAGGAGATTGTTAGACAGAGACGAATAAAGCAGATTGTGTTTTGTAAGCATTCCATCATCAGGTATGTCATCAACACACATTTCATGCACCCAAAGACAGATAGCAACATCCAATAGGAACATGAAATTAGACATGTTCAGGAAAAATATAACAAGTCTCTCCATTCTTCTCATTCCTTCCCATCTTACATACCTTATTAAAAATTTGTAATGTTTACATTTTCAGAGTATTCCTATCAAATAAAATACAATCTCAAGGATTAATTCTTACTCCTTTTCCAGAATTAAAAAAAATTAAATCCTATTAGATAACCATATTCATCATATTGTTCTCTAAGGTTTTTCTAAAAGAGAAGCTTAAAAAAAGTCATTTTATTTCTATATGTATCACAATACCTTCAAATTTAAGACAAATTGCAGTGGTGGATATTTAAATAAGTAATGAATATTTAGTACATTATTATTAAGTATATATTATATCAGAATTATAACTGTGGTATGACATTATATAATTTTTATCAATATATGAGCGAAATGATAGTCCTGAGAATACCAACTTAGAAATAATAATATTCTTGTATGTATTTCATAAAACTTTTTCATAATGCTGACTTTACAAATTTGGTACAGCTAAGCACAATAAATTTTGCTCCAGACATGTGACATTTCCCTACACTACCTATGTGTACAATGCACATAGCACACACACGCAATGGACAAAATAGGACAAGGACAGCTGGATATTTACAAAAACAATAGTGCTTGCACCAATTTAAGGAACACAATAATTTGATTATTCCCAATTTGTGGGCCCTCTTTATTAAAGCATCTATGAAGGAGGTGGGAGAGAGAAAGCAAAGCATGACAGTTAATCCAAGTTCTGAAAATATTTTTTTAAATATATTTTTATTGATTTCAAAGATAAAGGGAGAGGGAAAGAGAGATAGAAACATCAATGATGAGAGAGAATCATAGATTGGTTGCCTACTGCATGCCCCATACTGGGGATCAAGCCCACAATCCAGGGATGCGCCCTTGATTGGAACTGAACCAGGGACCCTTCAGTCTGCAGGCCTGATGCTCTATCCACTGAGCCAAACCAGCTAGGGCGTGAAAATGTTTCTTCTTCTTCATCATTTCAAATTTAATATAGTCAATGATTAGGACTCCAGAGACAATAATAATAATAATAATAATAATAATAATAATGTGAGGTGCACATTATAAGTAAAAAAAATACTACAATGGGAAAGAGTTGCTAAAAAGATGGGCTATAGAGCATATGTTTGAAGTTAAAATTTGGGAGCTTTTATATTAAACTCTTATATGAAGTCCAAAAATACTAAACTGGAGTGAGTCCTTCAAATTCTTTAAGGTTCCAGAAGGCTTTTTCCCCCCAACACAAAACTAAAAATAAAATCCCATGTACCTAAGCTCTTCAGATAGCTGCTATTATTACTCTCTCCTTACCCTTTAAATTTTATTGGAAAGTTAACTGTTAAGGGTGTGCTTAGTGATAAAACAAAGCTGTGAGGAAGGCAAGCAGTGACCTCACACTGCTCCAGATCATTGCAACCTTTCTTTTCTTACTACGGTGTAGAGAGTCAGGGCTGTAAATGTAGCAGCCGAGGAAACATGGGAAATGCATCTTGACATGAGGCTGCAGTCCCTCCCCGGAAACTACAGGATTGAGTAATATTCTATATACTCAAGGGAATTCAGTTTTCACATACCCTCTATTTCAAAAGTTGTGATTCCTTAGGCTGGTAAAATCTTTTCTGAGATGTATTGTCTTCTATAAAACTATGGTCCTAAAATTCTCTGTTGTTTTGTTTTTGTTTTTTAATTGTGACTTATATCTCTATTTGGCTGTGTGAAAGAGGACTCAGACATGACAATAAAAAATAATGGTGGCCTGGGCTCTCACTAACTGTAGTAGAGGGACATATGCCGCCAAATTAAAAATAATAATAATAATAATAATGGCAAGAAAAGGCTCCTACATAGAAAAGAAAGATGCAAGGGGAAAAGGGCATCTAGAAGAGAAAAATTAAAAAGGATTCATTAGCAATTAGTAATAATTATATTTGTTTCACAAACATTTCAAATCTCTGCTGACTAAAATATTTTTCTTGATTACTGAATATGACTTTTTGAAAAAATGATGAGGGTTTGTAATTGAATAAACTATGTTACATTGTCAGAGTTAAATATCAAATGCTAGTTTGACCCATATGTATCACAAGCAATGTCAAAAGAATCATTAAATAATATTTTTTCTAATTATTAAAAATTCAGTTGTCTATGCAGGCATTGCTTTTATAAATTTTTAATCTTAGTGTTATTTCTCCTGCCAACAGGTTTGCCTACAAATAATCTCTCCTAGGGACCCCCAAACTTCTGTTTTTCTTATATTTTTATTTTTTTTAATTTATACTTCAATTAACGTTGATATACAATATTATATTAGTTTCAGGTGCACAACAGTGATTAGACATTTCTATACCTTCCAAAGTGATCACCCTGATAAGTCTAATAACTACTTTATGTTTCTGAATGTTTGATTTTCATTGAAGGCAGCAACTTACCCCATCCACACCCTTCTCCTCCTGGGGCACTAGGAGGACACAGGTTTTCATTGAGCTTGATTATTTTTTTTAAAATATATTTTATTGATTTTTTACAGAGAGGAAGGGAGAGGGATAGAGAGTTAGAAACATC